CTAATTATAATAATGACTTAATTATCATATATTAATATTCTACAATAATAATTATTAATAATAAATATATACACACACTGTGGAAGTACAGAGGAATTGGAATATGTGAAATTGACTTTATAAAGTGAAAAAAATGTCTCATTAACCTCCACTATGTATTAATACGCTGCCAGCAAACAGATGATGCCAATATTGTGCTGATATTCCATATGAGACCATAAACCATACATGTTGCCGATGTTTTGTATACCATAAAAACCACACTTTTCCATATAAATAGTTTGCTTTATTGAGCTTTTACATTACTACAACATTTACAAATAATCACAGCATGCCGCTTCAGTGTAGACGTCATTTCCCAAAGAAGGGGTCAGTAGACACTTTATCAGACTCTACTGACAGGTACCAGCTAAAACCTATAAAACGAATTTGAAGAACAAGTCTAGTCAACATGGATTTTTAAGTTTTTAGCAAAATGGGGAATGGTTTGATCACCAATTCTTTATAGGTGTATAGGACCCAGAAGAAGATGTCTCCTACTCCCAACATGACTGTTACCGGAGTTGTCCAAAGATAGAGAATCAACTGCAGAGTAGTTGATGAACAGGTCTGTATCCTCTAGTGCCCGACCTGTGGCCCTTGGGTAGTTGTTGTGTAGCCCTTGGGCTCCTGTGGTTAGTAGTGAAAACACTTCCGGACAGTAATGGCGGTGATCTCTAGCAGTCTCTTGTAACATGTTCCCAGACTATCTGTGCCCAACACTGTGTCTCCAGTCTCCAACCACACCTGTAGCATGTCCACAGACAGTCTTCTGTAGTATTACATATAGTGATCATTATGTGAAGCCCTTCAGTGGTGTCAGGGGCCACAGCTGAGGGCTCCTGTAACTCATAAGTTGACCACCATGGCTCTAGTGGATTCACCAGAGGTTTATAGCCAACACAAGGCCGTGACAATAGAAGCTTGGCTGAAAAACCGCACACCATCAAAGAGGTTAATATTCCTCCCTCTGATACCAACAAAGAGGTTAATATTCCTCCCTCTGACACCAACAAAGAGGTTAATATTCCTCCCTCTGACACCAACAAAGAGGTTAATATTCCTCCCTCTGACACCAACAAAGAGGTTAATATTCCTCCCTCTGACACCAACAAAGAGGTTAATATTCCTCCCTCTGATACCAACGAGGCACCATTCCTCATCCTACTGACCATGTCATTTTGTAATGTACTTTTCTTCTCTCATTGACTGCCAAGCCTGAGGCATTATTTACTCCCACTAATGTTGGGGCATTTTTCTACTCCCAGTGGCCACAATCCAGCTCACAGTTTGAAGGATAGTAAAGTGGCCCTTTGTTTAGAAAGTTTGGAGACCCCTGCTTTAAAACTGTTGAGCACAACAAGGGCCTTTAATACAGTTTTGGGAACTGTAGTTTTTTTTTTGCCATTTCACGGGCTTGCACACTTTAAGGAATGGCATGTTTGGTATCTATTTACTCGGGGCAAGCTCATCTGTTATATTTAACAATAAAATTGGGGTGTTAGGTTGTGTTTGTGCGCACTAAAATTAAATTTAACATATTTGTTCCTAAACATTTGCACAAATATTGTGTGACAACATTTTCAGCTTTTTCTTATTTCTACAGGGATTGCAACTACCAATTTTTTCTTCCACAGGGCCTCTCCTTTGAGAAAATTGCTGAGTTTTAAGTAATTTTCCAGCCAAACACTTAGATTTTACCATGTGTATGCAATATTGAAAAAAAAAAATAGCTTCCCCCTGAAGTAGTTAATAACTTTCATATATAAATATAAAAGTTTGAAGACTTTAAAGGAAGTTCATATTTATAGGGTGTGGGGAGCGATAGTTCCAGCACACAGACGACTTCCTGTCCAGTAAAGAGCACCTGTGACAAGGACTGAATAAAAGTGTTTAATAAAATATATTATTACTAATGTGCCCAATGGGAATTTTAGATGTGTACATTTAATATCCCCCCATGCTCTTCCTATGTCATGACTCTCAGCCAAAGGCGATTGGCTCTGATACCCCCTCACCCGCCCCGGCCCAGCATATGACCCTATCACTGTTTTTATCCAATCAGAAGCCCGTGCCAGCAACTGACATCACAAACAGGCCAACCCACATCTCGGGGCCCAGAGAAGGGACAGTAGGGAGCATGATGGAATGTAAAATGCTGGTTGGATAAAGATCTTTTTACAATGATCATATATTTTTTCATCCTAAATGGCTTTTAATTAACTTAACTATACATTTTTGACAGGTTCTCTTTCAGCTTCTAAATTAGCAGCTAACATAATCTGTACAGTAAAAGTTAGGCTGGCCATAGATGAATTGTATCTCAGCCAGTTCAGCAGGGATCGACCGAGATTTGACCTAGCTGTTGGCAGGTTGGTTGTACTGAAGTCGATCCATCGATCTACTTCAGTACAGCCACAGCTTGTTGGATTTTTGTTCATGAAATCACTGCCAGCGGTTATAACCATCAGCAGCAATCATTGTGTTCTGCAGGCAGGGAAGGTTTTCTGCAGGCAGGGAAGGTTTACTGCTGGCATAGCACAATAGCTCTGCGGTAGGGATTCACCCATCAACACTGAATCAAGCTATTTTCTCTCCTACAACCCACCTGTGGTGGAAGGAAAGAAAGTTGCATAATCTATGGCCTGCTTTAGACAAACGTTAAATACCCCTTTTCTGTGCAGGCAGTGTAAGGGTTTTGTCAGGGAATGAGAAGATCGCCGCGGCGATCGAATCTGCACATGCGTAGAATCCTGACAAAACATACAGGCAGGCGGGCACTAGGACCCAGGCGCGCCTGTCACCAATGACGGCGCCGGGCAAGCACTAGGACCCAGGAGTGCCTGTCAGGAGTCGGGCGGGCTATTTAAACCCGGCTCTTGCAATGCTCAATTGCCCTATGGTCTTATCTGTGTTCCTGAGAGTAGATTGTTTGTTGCAGACCGTGATTTGCTGTCCGTCTCCTGTTCTGATCCCTGGCTTTGTCTGACCATTCTCCTGCTTAACCCCGCATGTTCTGACTTCCTGTTGACGAACCCGGCTTTTGACCTGTTTATCCCTCTGCCTGCTGATTCTGTACTACACCGCCACCACTGTTACCGACCCGGCCTGCCCGATGCTGCTCTAGTTACCTCCTCACATCAGACTCTTACCCGCTATGCACCTTCTACAGTGCCTCTACCACAGCTGGGTGCACTCAGGGGCCGCGACCTGGTCTCGGCCTGCTCCAAGTCCATCCCCACCATCAGGGGCCCTGGTGAACAAGCAGGTTGGAGCTTAGATTCCGCGCCTTGGGGGATTCCGGTCTGTGGAGTGCTAGAGGCTACCGCGGTTGGATTCCTGACAGGTTTACTTTGCTATCTATCAATCTGAGTAGCAAAGGTGCTTACATTTACCTTGTCAGCCCTCCCCTGTTGCCCACTCTGCCATCCTGCCCCCATGTGATCACATGCAGGTCTGGCGATTGGCTACTTAAAGCGGAGTTCCAGTCAGTTCTGTATTTATTAAAAGTCCGCAGCTACAAAAATTGTAGCTGTTGACTTTTAATAAACATACACTTTCCTGTCCCAGGGTCCAGCGATGTGCTCACCCGCACCATTCCTTCTCTGCCTCTTCTCTCCCTATTGTCGGAATCACAACTGTGGGCACCAGGCTTGCCGGGTGCCCACTGCGCATGCACGAGTCGCACTGCGCATTCTCATTGGTCCAGCAGTCTTCTGGGACCTGTGAAGGTTCCCAGGAGACTGCAAGAGAAGTAGGGGGCCAAACGTCCGTCTCACTTCCCCGTGGCGAAGTGAGTTGGAAATGGGAGCGGGTACCTGTCAAAAACAGGTATCTGCTCCCCCCCAAAAGGTGACAAATATGGCAGTGGAGGGGGAGGAGGCAAATAAGCGGAGCTTCCACTTTTGAGTGGAACTCCGCTTTAAGTGGCAAACACTAAATTTTGACCGCATTCAGGCCTAGCGATTGGCTGCTCAGACAGCGAGCGCTAAATTTTCAGTACAAAGTGCTTATCTGAAGCTGGAAAGGACAGATACAGAAACTAAAGGGAGTATCCAATATACAAGTAAAAAAATTTGTAAGAAGTGAGCGCTCCTAAAAAACAGCCGCTAAAACACCAAGAGGTACCAAACACTCAACAGTAATAAATATATATAATAGAGGTGTAGCGCTAAAAAATACATATAAAACAGATAAGTATGCCAATATGTCCACAGATATTATTTACAAACGTATGTCAGACCATAAACGGATAAAACGTCTGATATAACAGAAGATGAACTTGCGACTCCGACCAAAAGTGAAAAATGCGCACTCACCGGAAGCGCATAGATAATGCGCATATATATCCTCAAGGTATAATGGTCAATCCGGTGAACTTTTCCTCATGGTGCAAGTGGATTCAAACGCTTCCTTAACGGCTTGATGACTGCACCATGAGGAAAAGTTCACCGGATTGACCATTATACCTTGAGGATATATATGCGCATTATCTATGCGCTTCCGGTGAGTGCGCATTTTTTTCACTTTTGGTCGGAGTCGCAAGTTCATCTGCTGTTATATCAGACGTTTTATCCGTTTATGGTCTGACATACGTTTGTAAATAATATCTGTGGACATATTGGCATACTTATCTGTTTTATATGGATTTTTTTAGCGCTACACCTCTATTATATATATTTAGTATCCAATATACAGCCAGAGAGCTAGTTATGTCATTCTATAGAGATTATAGGCTTACTTTACTTTGTTTTCCTTAAATATTATAGACAGGTAGTCTTTATATGCAAGAGGCAATGATTTCCAGTCTTCTCTCCACCTTTCCGCATTGATTAGGATTAACCGGTCTGGTAGCTAGTTATGTGTCAAGTAATGCTATATGTATAAGTCAGAAGAAATCCATCTGCAGAAATCAGTGAAAAAAGGACAACCGTTCAGCATAAAGTTCCAGTCAGCGGCTGCTATCGGTCAGAAGAAGGGGTAAGGCCATTGGGTTGGCTGGATACTCCAAGTCTCTGATCTTGGCTGTTTGTATGGAGGTTCCTCAATCTGTCTTCAAGAATCCTCAGCTCCTCGACTAGGCTGGTCTCTGGAGGATGGCCCGTGTGTCATGCTATAATGAAAAGAAGAGTTTAAAGGGGGTGTGTGAACACCTTGTAAAAATACATAAATCAGCGGTGGGCAACTTGAATGTAATAGAGGGCCTCAAAATGGCCACCAAAAATTCCAGAAGGTCACACAGTACCAGCGTGTTTTTGTGCATTGAGGTTCATTGCTTTATGTTAGGCAGCCCAATCAAATGAATGGGCTTTAACACACCAAAACGCAATGCACAATTAACGGAAAGTTGGAGTCATTATTGGTTTCAGTGGCTGAAAATATAAACAGCGTTGATGCCAGTGACTGCAATAATATCCTCCGACATTGGTGTCAGAGACCACAATAATAATCCCCAGCATTGGTGTCAGTGTCTGCAATAATACCCCCAGTGTTGGGTGTCAGGGACCACAATATTAATTCTCAGTTTTGGTGTCTGTGTCTGCAACAATAACCACGGTATTTGTGTCAGGGAACGCAATAATAATCCTCAGTATTGGTGTCAGTGGATGCAATAATAACCCCCAGCATTGGTGTCACTGGCCACAATAATAACCCTCAGCATTGGTGTCACTGGCCACAATAATAACCCCCAGCATTGGTGTCACTGGCCACAATAATAACCCTCAGCATTGGAGTCAGGGACTGCAATAATAATCCTCAGCATTGACGTCAGTCTCTGCAATAATACCCCCAGCATTGGGTGTCAGGGACTGCAATATTAATTCTCAACACTGGTTTCTGTATCTGTAATAATAACCCCAGTATTGGTGACAGGGAATGCAATAATAATCCTCAGCATTGGTGTCAGTGGCCACAATAATAGCCCCAGCATTGGTGACAGTGGATGCAATAATAGCCTCCAGCATTGGTGCCAGTGGCCACAATAATATCCCCCAGCATTGGTGTCATTGGCCACAGTAATAGCCCCTAGAATTGGTATCAGCAGAAGCCATAATAACCCCCAGTATTGGTGTCAGGGACAATAAAAATCCTCAGCATTGGTGTCAGTGGATGCAATAATAACCCCCAGCATTGGTGTCACTGGCCACAATAATAACCCTCAGCATTGGAGTCAGGGACGGCAATAATAATCCTCAGCATTGATGTCAGTGTCTGCAATAATACCCCCAGCATTGGGTGTCAGGGACCGCAATATTAATTCTCAACACTGGTTTCTGTATCTGTAATAATAACCCCAGTATTGGTGACAGGGAACACAATAATAATCCTCAGCATCGGTGTCAGTGGCCACATTAATAGCCCCAGGATTGGTGACAGTGGATGCAATAATAACCCCCAGCATTGGTGTCAGTGGCCACAATAAAATCCCCCAGCATTGGTGTCATTGGGCACAGTAATAGCCCCTAGAATTGGTATCAGCAGATGCCATAATAACCCCCAGTATTGGTGTCAGGGACTACAATAAAAATCCTCAGCATTGGTGTCAGTGTCTGCAGTGATAACCCCCAGCTATGGTGTCAGTAGCAGTGCTGTTAACCCCCCTCTTGCACAGGTGCTCAAAAGGAGTGCTATTTAATCCCTCTAATGTTGGTGGCACTATTTTTTAACCCTGTACCCCCATCCCCTCATTACCCCACCTATTGGTGGCCAGTGCAGTGGCAGAAAAATTTAACCCCCCCCCAGTCAGCAGCATGTTACCATAATGAGGTCTGAGGGCTCCAAACTGAGGAAGGAAGTCAGGTTGCATATGGTGTCACCCGTATTCCTCTAAAATGTGCCAGTCTGCGATAAATCGTCTGGATTTCAGTCTTTTGCTTGTGCCAGACATTCTACTTCTAAGCTCACTTGCTCACTTTTAATTGGTCAGCACCATGGGTATGGGTGCGTCCCTAACATCAAGACATTGGGGTTGCTTTACTAAAACTGGAGAGTGCGAAATCTGGTGAAGCTCTGCATAGAAACCAACCAGCTTCCAGGTTTTATTGTCAACCCCACTGCCATTCAGACTTTCAGCAGTAATGTAAACAAGGCATATCAGCACCTAGCCAGAATATTGTAACCCTGAGATGGGTAATTAAGCCCCATCAGTCTTGAGGTTGTAGACTCCCAGGAGCAGGGCCCTCCTTATTTATTTATTTATTTCAGGTACTTATATGGCGCCAGCAATGTATGCAGCACTTTACATATATATTGTGCATTCACATCAGTCCCTAACCCTCAAGGGGCGTACAATCTAAGGTCCCTAACCCTCAAGGGGCGTACAATCTAAGGTCCCTAACCCTCAAGGGGCGTACAATGTAAGGTCCCTAACCCTCAAGGGGCGTACAATGTAAGGTCCCTAACCCTCAAGGGGCGTACAATCTAAGGTCCCTAACTCTCAAGGGGCGTACAATCTAAGGTCCCTAACCCTCAAGGAGCATACAATCTAAGGTCCCTAACCCTTCAGGGGTGTACAATCTAAGGTCCCTAACCCTCAAGGGGCGTACAATCTAAGGTCCCTAACCCTCAAGGGGCATACAATCTAAGGTCCCTAACCCTCAAGGAGCGTACAATCTAAGGTCCCTAACCCTCAAGGGGTGTACAATCTAAGGTCCCTAACCCTTCAGGGGTGTACAATCTAAGGTCCCTTACCCTCAAGGGGCGTGCAATCTAAGGTCCCTAACCCTCAAGGGGTGTACAATCTAAGGTCCCTAACCCTCAAGGGGCGTACAATCTAAGGTCCTTAACCCTCAAGGGGCGTACAATCTAAGGTCCCTAACTCTCAAGGGGCGTACAATCTAAAGTTCCTTAACCCTCAAGGGGCGTACAATCTAAGGTCCCTAACCCTCAAGGGGCGTGCAATCTAAGGTCCCTAACCCTCAAGGGGCGTACAATCTAAGGTCCGTAACCCTCAAGGGGCGTACAATCTAAGGTCCCTAACCCTCAAGGGGCGTTCAATCTAAGATCCCTAACCCTCAAGGGGCGTACAATCTAAGGTCCCTAACCCTCAAGGGGCGTGCAATCTAAGGTCCCTAACCCTCAAGGGCCGTGCAATCTAAGGTCCCTAACCCTCAAGGGGCGTACAATCTAAGGTCCCTAACCCTCAAGGGCCGTGCAATCTAAGGTCCCTAACCCTCAAGGGGCGTACAATCTAAGGTCCGTAACCCTCAAGGGGCGTACAATCTAAGGTCCCTAACCCTCAAGGGGTATACAATCTAAGGTCCGTAACCCTCAAGGGGCGTACAAACTAAGGTCCCTAACCCTCAAGGGGCGTACAATCTAAGGTCCCTAACCCTCAAGGGGCGTACAATCTAAGGTCCCTAACCCTCAAGGGGTATACAATCTAAGGTCCCTAACCCTCAAGGGGCGCACAATCTAAGGTCCCTAACCCTCAAGGAGTGTACAATCTAAGGTCCCTAACCCTCAAGGAGTGTACAATCTAAGGTCCCTAACTCACATTCATACATACACATACTAGGGCCAATTTAGACAGGAACCAATTAACCTACCAGCATGTCTTTGGAGTGTGGGAGGAAACCAGAGTACCCAGAGGAAACCCATGTAGGCACAGGGAGAACATGTAAACTCCAGGCAGGTGGTGTCGTGGCTGGGATTTGAACCAACGACCCGAGTACTGCCAGGCAGAAGTGCTAACCATTTAGCCACTGTGCTGCCCTTACTTTCTTGCATTGAACTGTATCGTTTCTGTATTGTCTCCCTTTATATTGTATAGCGCTGAGCAAACTGTTGGCACAATATGAATCCTGTATAATAATAATGATGTGAGAACATTCCCAAGCCTGGTATTTTGGTAACTAGGTAAAATGGATGTTGAAAAGTTCATCAACAGAGGCTTTAAGCCTCGCTTAGCCCTGCAGGTAAGCCAGTAGACATTTTAGTCTGGGTATCTCTCACTGCAGAACCAAAATCTGCACATAACAGTAGTGCTACATTAATATTAGGAATATATCCGAATGTACTCAATCCAAATCCGGAGCGAAATTGTGCACATCCACCAGCAGGGGGCAGGATGACACAAAACATTTATAGAAGCTATGAATAGAAGAGAGAAAGTGATAAATGCCATTAGCCTTCCTGTCTGTACACCACTAATTAGCACCACCACTGACTGTGCTTATGGTAAAAAAAAAAAAAAAAAAAAAATTACATACATTTCACAAAGATTCCATCACAAAAATAATTTACTTAAAGGGTCAGTCAACTCAAAGCTGATATTTCGGTGTTTGGTAGACTTTGGATCAGCCTTTCTCAACCTTGTTAACATGAAGGAACTCGTGAAATAACTTTCCAGGCTCAGGGAACCCCTGCTGATAATTACTATATCTACCGCTCACTGTACATTAGTGTGATGATCAGTGGGAATTATGCTCCTCACAATGGGGGTCACTGAAAAAAATTCCCTCCATACAGATAGCTAAAATTGGTGTCAGTGGGAGCTTATTGGGAAGTTGCTCATTTCTCAAGGAACCCCTAGCAACCGTTAGAGGAACCCTGGTTGAGAAAGACTGCTTTAGATGGTTAAAAACCCTAAGGGCCCATTTACAATGTGGTAATGCATGGCACCCCAACATACTAGGGCAGGGGTCTCCAAACTGTGGACCCTGGGCCGAATGTGGCCCTTTGCTTGCCTTTATTTGGCCCTTGGAGCACTATTCCTTCCACTGATGCGAGGCATTATTCCTGACACTGATGCGAGGCATTATTCCTGACACTGACCCTAATGAAGGGACACTATTCCTTCCACTGACACTAGAGATGGGGAACTAATTTTTCCACTGATACCAACAATGGGGTACTATACCTCCCATGGACACCAACAATGGGGCAATATACTTCCCACTGACACCAACAATGGGGCACTATGTTTCCCAATGACACCAACAATGGGGTACTATACCTCCCATGGACACCAGCGATGGGCACTATACCTCCCAATGACACCAACAATGGGGCACTATACCTCCCATCGACACCAGAGATGGGGCTCTATGAAGGAACACTATTCCTTCCACTGACACTAGAGATGGGGAACTAATTTTTCCACTGACCACCATTAATGGGACACTATTCCTCCCACTGACACCAACAATGGGGTACTATACCTCCCATGGACACCACCGATGGGCAATATACCTCCCAATGACACCAACAATGGGGCACTATACCTCCCATCAACACCAGCGATGGGGCTCTATGCCTACCACCAACACCAGCGGTGGGGCTCTATGCCTATCACTGACAGGGCACTATGCCTACCACCAACACCAGCGGTGGGGCTCTATGCCTACAACTGACAGGGCACTATACCTACCACCAATACCAGCGATGGGGCACTATACCTCCCACCGATACCAGCGATAGGGTCATTTTTTTTTACTCCCACAGACCACCAGGCCAGTTTACAACCACCAATGCCAGGACATTTTCTACTCCCACTGGCCACATTCTGGCCCCCCTAAAATGTGATGGCCAGTAAACTGGCTCTTTATTTTGAAAGTTTTGAGACCCCTGTATGAGGGCAATGCAACTGAGTTGCAGCATGCACAAAAACATAGTAGTAGTGTGTTAAGGTGCATTGAGCTACAAAAAAGTGTCTTGTCTGATCTTTATCTTCTTAGGGTGCGTTGGTAGCCCATTTATTTAAATTGTCTACTTTAAAGGATAACTTCATCTTTTAGCCGGGGTTCGCATATGTGCGGTGTGGTATATCGCATGTGATTCGCAGAGGAACTGCACCGCATTCCTGTGCAAATCACATGCAATTTGTGTGCGGTGCGATTGGAGCCATACATACCAAAAACATGCAGGACCCTTTTTTAGGTGTGCACTAGAATCGGATCGCATGGGTATTTACACCTATACGATCCGATTATGCACATCGCATGAATGGGCTACTATGCCCACACAAACACAGGCTGCATGGTGTGAGCCAGGACTAAAGCTGTAATGACACTTTTCTGGGGGGGTAGTTTCCTTAACAACTACCTGCACCTAATACAAGCACTACTGACATTATCAACATGGGCGGCCAATTCACGTAGTTCTTACTACTGCTACTTTAGAAGCCTGGAGCTATAACTTTGGAGAGGGGGGGGGTGGGGTGCACTGAGATAGGAGAGATCAATATGGACACAATCTCTGTGACGGCACTGACAATTCTTGTACCTGTCTCTGACAGGTACATGAACAGGGGCGGACTGACAACTCATGGGGCCCCCGGGCAATAGTTGATCATGGGGCCCCCTGTGTCCTTGCCCAAACTCAAAAAAGCCTATGAAAAAGGTACCAGGGGCATCTCATGGGGCCCCCTACTGACCCCGGGCCCTCGGGCAGTGCCCGAGTTTCCAAATGGTCAGTCCGCCCCTGTACATGAATCAAGCTCAAGCACTGACACTTTTAGAGCTGGGTCCCAACAGAATATTAATGGGTGTCTAGAACAGCCTTCATTAATTCCCCCAAAACCTTTATGGAGCTGGCTTTGTGCACAGTCATGCTGAAACAGAAAAGGACCTTCTTCAGACTGCTGCCACGAGGTTGGAAGTGCCCAATTGTCTAAAATGTCTTCACACAATGTAGCATTAAATTTATCTTTCATTGCTAACATTTCAACTCATTATTTGAGAGTCCATTTGGCCATAGTGGTAGGTGCTATGGTCAGGTGTCCACATACAGTTGGCTATATTGGGTATTTATACTGGATCTTCATCTGCCAATTTTCAGCCATGTTTAGTTACCTGTGTCATGTCTGTGGTGTAGCGCAAGTAACATCTTTTCCATAGTGTGACCCAAGGCCCCACACTTATAGGAAATAGAAGGTCCTCTATGGGGCTGTAAGTGGTGACGTTACTCCTAGACGGCTTTTCTTCTTCCAGTAGACTCTCAGTAGATTGGGCACGGCGAGCCGTTCGCTTGGACACTGTACCGATTTTCCTTGGGAATAACGGAGACTGCAGGATGAGGGACCCCTTGGAGAGCAGGTACACACTGCAGCTGTTGGAAACATTCATCTTGGGAAAAAAAAGACAAAAAGTCAATGCTCTGTGTGTATATACATATACACACACATACATACATACACACACACATACATGCATATATTTATTTATTACAGGTACTTATATAGCGCTGTCAATTTACACAGCTCTTTACATATATATTGTACATTCACATCAGTCCCTAACCCTCAAGGAGCGATCAATCTAAAGTCCCTAACTCACATTCTTAGATATCCATACTAGGGCCAATTTAGACAGGACCTTTTAACCTACTAGCATGTGTTTAGAGTGTGGGAGGAAACCAGAGTACCCGGAGGAAACCCAGGCAGGTGGTGCCATGGTTGGGATTTGAACCAACGACCCTAGTACTGCCAGGCGGAATTGCTAACCATTTAGCTATATATACACGCACGCACGCACGCACGCACGCACGCACGCACACACATATATATACATATATATATATATATACACACATATATATATATACATATATATATAAATATATATATATATATATATATATATACACACACACACACATACATATATATATATATACATATATATATACATATATATATATACACACATATATACATATATATATATATATATATATATACACATATATATACATATATATACACATATATATATATATACATATATATATATATATATATATATATATATATATATAAAATAGAATGTATGTACTATTTACCTAGGGCAGCCTTTCTCAACCTTTTTACCCTGGGAGAACCCCTAAAACAATTTCCAGATCTTGGAGAACCCTATCTTATTAAAACTAGTTTATCAGGGGTCAGTGGCAAACATGACTCAAACAGTAGTGGTCAGTAGGAAGAATGCCAACCTTGCAGACAGCTAAATATATCATTGGTGTCATGCTGCAAGTGGCATTGGTTCTGGAGCTATGCAGGCACCATCAGATGGGGGGGGGGGGGTCAATCACCCACAGCTCAAGGAACCCCTAGCAATCTGTAGAGGAACAGTAGAGTTCCATACTTCATGAAACAGGTTAACATGTGCACAGATGGGGTAGATAAATGGCTACCCACCCTCATCCACATCTACATCTATACTGTGTCCTGCAATGACATGGAGGTCAGCAGCAGGAACCCTGGAGATCAACACTCCCGGAAGTGTTGATTTCCCTGTGCACTTCAGATGAGGATTTCTAGTGAATGCAGCGGCTTTCTGGTGCTATAGGTAGCACGTAAATATTCACAGACTTCTTTTAAAGGTAAGGCTGTTTGCAGGTTTTAGATTTATTCAGAGCGTCACTTTAACCACTTGAGCTCCAGAGGATTTACCCCCCTTAATGACCAGGCCTCTTTTTGCTACTCGGCGCTGCACTAATTCAACTGATAATTGCGCGGTCATGCAATGCTGCACCCAAACGAAATTTACGTCCTTTTTTTTTCACACAAATAGAGCTTTCTTTCGGTGGTATTTGATCACCTGTGCGCTTTTTATTTTTCACGCTATAAACAAAAAAAGGCCAAAAATTTTGAAGAAAAACAATATTTTTTACTTTCAGCTATAAAAAATATATAGTAAACTCAAAGTTGGTTATAAATTTAGGCCAAAATGTATTCTGCTCCATGTTTTTGGTAAAAAAAATCCCAATGAGTGTATATTGATTGCTTTGTGTGGAAGTTATAGCGTCTACAAACTATGGTATAAATACTGCAATTTACGCCATTTTTTTGCTATACATCGCTGCGCTAGTTTAATGGACAATTGCGCGGTCATGCAATATGGTACATAAATGAAATTTACATCCTTTTTTTCCCCACAAATTGAGCTTTCTTTCAGTGGTATTTGATCGCCTGTGCGGTTTTTATTTTTTGCGCTATAAAAAAAAAAAGGCTGACAATTTTGAGGAAAAAAAAAAAACAATATTTTGGACTTTTTGCTATAAAACATGTCCAGTTTAAAAAAAAATGCAAAAATCAAATTTAGTCATAAATTTCTGCCAAAATGTATTCTGCGACATGTCTTTGCTAAAAAAAAACCCCAATACGTGTAAATTAATTGGTTTACGTGAAAGTTATAGCGTTTACAAATGGCGGGAAAGATACTGGGATTTTTAGGGTTTTTTTTATACTAATAATGGTGGCGATCAGCGAATTATGGCGGCGATCAGCGACTTATGGCGGGACTGCGGCGGACATTCTGACATTGGGGGGTACTGACTTGGGGTCACTGACATCCCCAAAAACACTAATACAGTGATCAGTGCAAAAAAAAAAAAAACTGACACTGTACTAATGGCAATGGGGAGGAAGGGGTTAACTTTATTTTGCAGGGAAGGGTTATAGGAGGGGAGTGTTTTACTAGGGGGCGGGGGTGTGTACTGGGCGGGACAAGGCTGATCGAGAAAGAGAAACTGTTCTTTCTCGATCAGCTCATCCTCGAGCTGACAGGGAAGTGACAGACAGCACAGCTACTGCAGCTGTGCTCTCTGTCACTGTTTGCCGCCGATCGCCGGGACATAGCCGCTAAGGAGCGGCTGTGACCTGGCGACTGATATCTGCGGCGGTGATCCGTGGGACAAATAGGGCGGCTGCGCGCCTTGCGCGCGCCCCCTATTTGTTTACAAAACACGCGTTTTTAAAACGTGGTTTTGCCTGCGAGTGCCGCCCTGCCGCCGTATATGTACAGTGGCTGGGCGGCATGCAGTTAAGGAAATCTGGACTTGCCAATGCAGGATCAAGTGACAGATTCACTTACAGCAGACTTATGGGGTGGAATACTCCTCTTTACTCCAATGGTCCCCTTCCCTTGACAACTTCTTCTTTTGTGTGCTGCTTTTCAGTTACCTTCATTGGCCAGCAAGGGATAACGTCACTTCTGTGCATGCGCAGGAGCTAGTCATCAAGGCACACAGGGAACAGGACGGCCAATATAAGCTGAGCTACGCAGCTCAGTTTAAATGCCGGGGATCACTGTGAATGGGCAGATATATATGTTTTACTGCAGAAGAAACGTGGCATGTCTCTTCTGCAATAAAGATCCTGCCTGCTCACAGTGAGTGACAGCGGAACCTTAGTTCCATATTAAAAACCCATCCCCACCTTCAAATATATACTCCTTATATTTGCTCCCCTAGCACTCCGTTTAGTAGCTTGGAACAAAGAGAGATGCCATTAGTTCCAAGTATAGGGGAGCATGTGACTCTGCACCCTTACTCCCATGATGCATCACTAAGTGCCAGAGCAGCCAATCGGGAGACCCAAATCTGTCAGGTGGAGGAAGCCTTGGAGCTTACAAAGGGCTTACACAGGAAGCCTTGGAGCTTACACAGAGCTTCTGTTCTTCACACAATATTACACAGACCAGTGGGTACTCCCATGATGCAGCACTAAGTGCCGGAGCAGCCAATCGGGAGACCCAAATCTGTCAGGTGGAGGAAGCCTTGGAGCTTACACAGGGCTTCTGTTCTTCACACAATATTACACAGACCAGTGGGTACTCCCATGATGCAGCACTAAGTGCCGGAGCAGCCAATCGGGAGACCCAAATCTGTCAAGTAGAGGAAGCATTGGAGCTTACACAGGGCTTCTGTTCTTCGCACAATATTACACAGACCAGTGGGTATTGGGGGACAGTGAAGTGTCCTTGCATAGAAATGCATTACTTCACTTTAGGGAATTTTAGACCTTCAAAATGGCTTGCCAGTTGGCCATGTTGAAATGTAATGGAGCCAGTCCTATGCACTTGCGAATCATACTATAGGGGTATTTGATGTTAAAATGGTTGCGCTGGAACATTTTATTCAAAATCTCTGACCTCTGAGTGTTAGGTATCATACGGTACGGATATTGAAATTTTACCGAATTCTGTTGGATTTGTTGGTTTTTTTTTTTTTTTTTGGTATATGGTACTTTTTTGTCCTCTTTTTTTCTCCACTATGTTTTAAAAATTTTTTTTGTTAGATTAAACTCCCGTTCGACTGTTCCTGGAATGGGTAAAATGCTATTCTCTGGGTATTATATGTGTCTTACGATGAAGCGAAACGTGCATTGCTTTGTACTGAATGTCCAAGCTGCAATGTATCTGCTAACCTTTGCGCATGGATATGTTCTTGATATCAAAATCAAACAATTGTACGTATTTGCTGAATTCATTTTGTATACTTTTGCACAAATGTGATGCGATTTCGACTACTGTTACAGTCGTTTATTGTTATGTTATTGTCTTGAAAAACTTTAATAAAAAAGAGTTGCAAGAAATGTAATGGAGCCTAATGGAACCCTCCTTAACCCAAAGCTCACCTTGTCAGCATTATGCCCGGTTCCATTGCCGTTTAATACAGCAAGTTCCCTGACTTGATATACTGGGTTCCGGAACTGCTTCCTGCGCACATGACTGTAGAATAGGCTCCATTCCCAGACTGTTGGAGGAACTGCCTTCATGTCTTCCACTGGCTTGTAATCTCCATTCAACAGTATTTTCTCTCTCACTATGTCTCTCCAGCCATTCACCGGTGTGTACGTCTGGCTGGACGAGTGTCGCTGGTAGAAGAAAATGACCAGTCAAAAGACTTTCAAAAAAAGATCAAATCTCTCTGCACACTGATCAGTCGACATCTAAGTTCATCTTAAATATAACTTAGAGAAATAATAAAGTTTGAAGAAAAGTATTAATAAAGCTGAACTCCAGGCAAACATTAAATACACGGATGAAGTTCTACCTGCCAAATGACAATATATTCTATCCATCCAGATCTGAGATTTACACAGTCCTGGTGACCTCATGTCTCTGTCATTCTGCTCTCTCCTTCTGTCTGCATGCCAATTGTTAGCACATTGCAGCACAGCTGATTGGCTCCTTGTACTGCTTCTCTCTCCCCCAGTCAGAACTCTGCCAAATAGGGGATTCTAAGAGGCTGATACCAAACTAAGGGTCAGGTAGTTACACCACTTGCAATTGAAAAAATATAATTTAATGGTACAGTAATAAATTCAGAGATGCTTTAATTTGTATCTTTTATATCTGCCTGGATTTAATAAAGAAATATGGGTTTTTAAAAAAAATTAAAAAAAATAAAAAGTGAACATTCATACTCACTTCTATGCTGCAGCTGTCTCAAATCAGTTCTAAGCCCAAGAATGGAACAAATACATGACCGCTGAACGCTCAGTTCTCAGTCTGCGTGAAGTGGAGAGCAGTGACTGTCAACCACCGCTCTTTGCTTCTTTAGCACTCACTAGAGCACTGGGCTGAGGAGAGGGAGGGCAAGGCTGGCTCCAGTTCTAAGCCGCACGCTGTGAGGCTGGGAGTCAGCTGTCACTCAGGAAACTGGGTGGATCCTGACAGTTTTGTTGGGATCCTTCCAAAGCCTGGAACGGCTCTGCCACCAATCAGCGGGCAATAGCTCACTATAAGCTGACTCTACGTCATAGGAGAACAGTATATATATACACTCCTGTTGTCCACAAAAGAAGTATGGCCAAAAAAGCTTTGGTAATACTTCTCTTCTAAACCTTAATGTAGTTACTTTAATCTCTTTTTGTATATTTGTACGTTTTAAATCTTTTTTAATACTTCCCACACAAAATCTTTGTTACATCCGAAGAAGAATAGGAATGGGGGTCCTTGATGACAGTGCCAACATTGCCTTACAAGTTTCAGTCTCATGGTCCTTGATGGTCACTGCTCTTGTTCCACCCTAGGTAAGTACCTACCTGGCTTCCTCTTATGCGGTCCCAGTGGCAGTTGTGAGTAAAGGTGCTACAGAACAGGTTGTAAGTGCTATCATGCAGGGCCATCAGATAGGATTCTGTAAACTCGAAGGCTGTTGGTGACTGCTGCACAAACTGCCAGACGCAGTCCAGGAACAACAGAAACACCGGAGACTGCAAGAAAAGACAAAGGTAACACGTTTAAAAGAAAGGTCACAAATGGTGCCTATCCATTGCTAAATAAATCAAATAACTAAATTTTAAAATATAAATCCCCCAATAATATGACAACCCATCAAATGTTCTCATTAGGCCCAACCATGGCACCATCTGCCTGGAGTTTGCATGTTCTCCCTGTGCCTGTGTGGGCTTACTCCAGTTTCCTCCCACACTCAGAAGATATGCTGGTAGGTTAACTGGATCCTGTCTACATTGGCCCTAGTATGTGTATGTAGGAATGTGAGTTAGGGTCCTTAGTTTGTGCGCCCCTTGAGGGTTAGGGACCTTAGATTGTACACTCCTTGAGGGTTAGGGACCTTAGATTGTACGCCCCTTGAGGGTTAGGGACCTTAGATTGTGCGCCCCTTGAGGGTTAGGGACCTTAGATTGTACACCCCTTGAGGGTTAGGGACCTTAGATTGTACACCCCTTGAGGGTTAGGGACCTTAGATTGTACGCCCCTTGAGGGTTAGGGACCTTAGATTGTGCGCCCCTTGAGGGTTAGGGACCTTAGATTGTACGCCCCTTGAGGGTTAGGGACCTTAGATTGTACGCCCCTTGAGGGTTAGGGACCTTAGATTGTACACCCCTTGAGGGTTAGGGACCTTAGATTGTGCGCCCCTTGAGGGTTAGGGACCTTAGATTGTACACCCCTTGAGGGTTAGGGACCTTAGATTGTACACCCCTTGAGGGTTAGGGACCTTAGATTGTACACCCCTTGAGGGTTAGGGACCTTAGATTGTACACCCCTTGAGGGTTAGGGACCTTAGATTGTACGCCCCTTGAGGGTTATTGACCTTAGATTGTACACCCCTTGAGGGTTAGCGGCCTTAGATTGTACGCCCCTTGAGGGTTAGGGACCTTAGATTGTACACCCCTTGAGGGTTAGGGACCTTAGATTGTACACCCCTTGAGGGTTAGGGACCTTAGATTGTACGCCCCTTGAGGGTTAGGGACCTTAGATTGTACACCCCTTGAGGGTTAGGGACCTTAGATTGTGCGCCCCTTGAGGGTTAGGGACCTTAGATTGTACACCCCTTGAGGGTTAGGGACCTTAGATTGTACACCCCTTGAGGGTTAGGGACCTTAGATTGTACACCCCTTGAGGGTTAGGGACCTTAGATTGTACACCCCTTGAGGGTTAGGGACCTTAGATTGTACGCCCCTTGAGGGTTATTGACCTTAGATTGTACACCCCTTGAGGGTTAGCGGCCTTAGATTGTACACCCCTTGAGGGTTAGGGACGTTAGATTGTACACCCCTTGAGGGTTAGGGACCTTAGATTGTACACTCCTTGAGGGTTAGGGACCTTAGATTATAAACCCCTTGAGGGTTAGGGACCTTAGATTGTACACCCCTTGAGGGTTAGCGGCCTTAGATTGTACACCCCTTGAGGGTTAGGGACCTTAGATTGTACGCCCCTTGAGGGTTAGGGACCTTAGATTGTACGCCCCTTGAGGGTTAGGGACCTTAGATTGTACGCCCCTTGAGGGTTAGGTACTAATATGAATGTACAATATATATGTAGAGCGCTGCGTAAATTGACAGCGCTATATAAGTACCTGTAATTAGGCCCCATGCACATGGATGTGTTCATGCTATAAAGTCTTTTCAAGTAACACCAAGGGAGCTGCAGGTGTTGCGTACAGCCACACATACAAATGAATGGTTATATGCGGCTGTACGCTTGAATACGCTGAAGGCTGCTGCATTGTGTAAAGCATACTTCCCTGAATACACCACATTTTTGGGTAAATACCAATGCAGTTGGACATTTACTTACCCGTATCAAGGTTTTAAAAGGATAACTGCTGTTTTACTTCCCTGCCCAGCAACCATCCCATTCTCCAAGTGCTGTTCTTACATGTACCCACTGCTCCGAGACCTTTGCTGTATATCCTGCTTGGCTCCACACAGCCACCGCTGTAGAAGTCTTCCAGCTGGGCTCTTCTTCCGTTTACTCCTTAACAGGGGCGGACTGACAACTCATGGGGCCCCCGGGCAATAGGGGATCATGGGGCCTCTGTGTCCTTGCCCAAACTCAAAAAAGCCTATGAAAAAGGTACCAGGGGCATCTCATGGGGCCCCCTACTGACCCCGGGCCCTCGGGCAGTGCCCGAGTTTCGAAATGATCAGTCCGCCCCTGCTCCTAAAGGTTCCCACACATTAATAGATGGCCTTTCCATAGGAATGCATGGAGGCTCAGAAGATGATGAGCCCGGCTGGGATACTCCTGGAGCGGCAGCTATGTAATACCCAACAGGCCGCTGGTTGACTTGTAGGTAGGTGTAGTTTGACTTCCCTGCACAGTTGGAGCTGCTAGCAGCCACCGTGCAGGGAGACTGGAGAACAGGAGGAACTCATGTTCCTCCTAGGAGCCCATAGGTGTCATCAGGGGAGCAGCTGTCCAATCTGATGCTGCTGCCCTGGATGAACTCTGTGGCCATCTTTAGCAAGGGCAGTGCTTATAAAAAGCAATGCAGTTGGCATGCATTTTGCACGTGGTTAAGTCAGGGACAGGAATCTGCTGAATAGGAAGAGTGTGCCCAGCGTACGGAGAGGCTCCAGAGGAAAAGGGACAGTACAGGGACAGGACATCTGTTCTTCTGTGTGGAGCCTTTCTGCGACTAGTGCCTTGTTACATCACTGCCTGCTAGCTGCCTCCCTTGCCTGGTTCTGTTGGCATCCGAGCATCGCTCTCCACATGTACTACATAGTTATCTGTGAGTGTTTCTGCCACTTTGGTACTGCTGCATAGACTCTGTTCCAGTGTTGTTGGAACGTTCTCGTTAATACACTCCCTTGCAATTGTGGATCTCCGTTTGTCTTACCTTCACCTTTGGGTACCCAACACCAGGCCCCATTCCCACCTACACACTGGGAGGAGGTAGAGTATTTGAAGGATAAATGTACTAAAAGTACTGTTCTTGTTACAAGTGCAAGGCTGCAGTCAGAGCAATAGATTGTAAGCTCTTCTGGAGCAAGTAATAACATGAGTAATTCAACATTCTTGCTCTAAAACGAGTTACAGTCAATGCTGCATAAATTAGTAAAATAAATAAGAAAATTTGGAACATTTTTAGAAAAGCAAATTCAGCAAAGCCTGAGCAGTATTGACAGCCTTTCATATTTCCCTCACTACATGGTAGACTTTGATTTATTAACCATTTGCCGCCCGCCCTATGGCCAAATGGCGGCCAGCAAATGTCATCAGCGTTCCGGGTGTACGCCATATGGCGTCCTCCCGCACATGCGCAGACTGCGCTCCTGCAGAGTCGCGCAACGGCGCGATCTGTCAGCGGCCGTGTAACTCGGACACGGCCGATGACAGATCTGAGTATCGGCCCCCGTTGCCGGTACCATGTGACCTGCTGTGACCAATCACAGCAGGTCACATGACAGTTGTATACAATGGATGGCTTCATTCATGCCATCCATTGTATACTAGTGTCTAGCTGTGAATGGTCACAGCTAATCACATGCACATGTCATGTGATTAGCTGTGGCCAAATCACAGCTAAGCACAAAAAAAAAAAAAAAAAACCCCTGAATGAATCAATGTCATTCAGTTAAATGCTTGCTTATAGCAAAGTAATTCTTTGCTATAAGCAAATTGTGTAAAAAAAAAAAAAAAAATACTGATCGCTTCCCCAAAGTAGTACAATGTTACTATGGTAACATTGTACTACTTTGGACATAGTGAAATATGAAAAAAATCTTAAAAAAAAGAAAAAAAATGTAATAAAAAATAATAAAAAAAATATAAAAAAAAAATATATATATATTTTTGTTTCATACTGTCACCAGTCAGTGTCCCTGATCACCGCAATGCCAGTTATATGATGACGCTGTACTCCACTGGTGACAATATGTAAAAAAAAAAAATAGTGAAACTAATTTTTTTATGTTTCCGAAAAATTATGACAAAAAAAATACAACTTCAAAAAACTCGCCAATCCTCTTATCCTCTTATGAAGTACGTCGGACTGTCTACTTTGCAAAAAGGGGTCATTTGGGGGATATCTGTACTGTTCTGACATTTGGGGGATATCTGTACTGTCCTGACATTTGGGGGATATCTGTACTGTTCTGACATTCTTGGACCTCAAGAAATTAGATTGGCTGTCAGTACTTCAGGATTGATCAATATTCAGATCTATACCATAGTTTGTGAACTCTATAACTTTCCTACAAACTAAAAAATACATCCTAATTTGGGTTATTTTCACCAAAGACATGTAGCAGAATACATCTCGGCCTAAATTTATGAAGAACAATTATTTATTTGCAAACGTTTATAACAGAAACAAAGAAAAACGTGTGTTTTTTTAAAAAAAAATAAAACCCCCAGCAGTGATTAAATAGCACCAAAAGAAAGCTCTAGTTGTGTGAAGAAAATGATAAAATTTTAGTTTGGGTACAATGTTGTATGACCGCGCAATTGTCATTCAAAGTGTGAGAGCGCTGAAACCTGAAAACTGGCCTGGGCAGGAAGGTGTAAAAGTGCCCGGTATTGAATTGGTTAAACCCACTAACCTCCTCCTTGTCAGATCTTTTGAAGTGGTTTATCCTCTGCATGAAAGGATGTCCTGCGGAGACCCACTCCTTCTGAACCAAACTCTGGTAGCCGGACAAGGTTCGTGTGTGGGGGTCCAGAATCAACTGGACTAACGATGCCAACAGACAGTTCAAGTCCCGGTCATCGGATTCTGTCACATGGCAAGGAAGATAAAACCATCAATATAGGAAAGAGATTTTTACGGTAATAGCAGGAACGCTAAAGAATACTTTACTGCAGCCTCTCAATCTTTTTTTTAACATGAAGGAACCCTTAAAATAACTTTCTGGGCTCAGAAAATTCCGGGTAATAATTACTTTATCTACAGCTTAGAGTAATGTTTCATAAAGTGGTTCTAAAGGCTCGAGATTTTTTTATCTTCATGCATTCTATGCATGAAGGTAAAAAACCTTCTGTGTGCAGCAGCTCCCCCAGCCCCAACAATACTTACCTGAGCCTTGTCGCGATCCAGCGATTTGAATGACAGCCTCCGCTGTCAATGGGGGTTGCTCAATATGAGAATTAAAATCTTTCCTCTACCACAGTGGTTCTCAACCTGTGGGTCGCGACCCCTTTGGGGGTCGCGAACGACCCTTTCACAGGGGTCCCCTAAGACCATCAGAAAAACACATATTTCCAATGTGTAAAGAGCAGCTACTGTGTAGAAAGCAGCTGCTGTGTTGAAAGCAGCTACTCTGTTAAAAGCAGCTACTGTGTTGAAAGCAGCAGTATTGGAGGTAAAACGACACTCATGAATTATAATTACTGGGTAAATAATTTTATGGTTGGGGGTCACCACAACATGAGGAACTGTATTAAAGGGTCACGGCATTAGGGTGGTTGAGAACCACTGCTCTACCATGATGGCCGCCTCCACACAGGGACACTAGGCTGAAAAAGGCATGTTAAATCAGTACTGGGTAAAGTAGCAGCTATGGGAAGATCACAGGTCATTCTGGTGACTAGTCCTTTGCCCCTCTTGCCTTTGTTTATCCAGAATTTCCACAGTACAGGTCCTCTTAAAAATGTTTGAAGTGAGGTTGCTCTAAACCCTGTATAAAGGGAATATCTGTTACAGTGTAAACATAACTTGTAGCTACCTGGTGAGAAAGCAGAGATACAATCTATTCCCAGAAGCAGGTTTTTTCTTTTTATTGCAATCTTATCAGCACCAGAAACTGGCTCACCCACTGCTTCTAGAAAGTAGTCTTCTTTAACTAGTTTTGCCACTTACTGTAGGAGGTGCGTGGTTTAGGTATTGAGAATGTAAGGTGACTGAGACAGGGCATAGACCACATTTAGGCCTCTTTCACATGGGAGTACTACAGTATACCCCCATGTGATGGACGTGTTTACCCCCACAGGGATGTACAGGTGTTCTGTGCATTCATGTACAGGCAGTCCTATCGATATCTATTGGGAGGTAGCGTCTGCCCGGACACAGCCACTGCTCCTAATTTGACATCTATACAGGTGCATGGCCCCCGAATGCAGACAGAGTGCATTTAGGACTGTGTACCCACATGGATGTCAGATTGGGAGAAGCAGCTGTGTCGGTGCAGCTGCTGCATCCTAATAGACATCAACTGGACTGCATGCAGGGGAATGCACAGAACACCTCTACATCCCCATGTGGGTAAACACGTCCTCGCATGCATGTAGTCTGTAGTACACCCATGTAAACGAGGCCTAAGAAGAAGTGAATCAGGGCGCCCATTCTGTAAATGGCACTTACAGCCTATCGATTTACTTGGAACATTAAAAACCCAAACCATGCAGAATTGATATTTCAGTGTTTGGTGGATGATGGAGAGTTAAACCACCCCCCAGTCTCTCCCATCTTTCGTGGACCCAGTTGGTGAGCGATCTGGGTCTGTACACTTGCTGTGACCCTTATGAGGGGCTCCCACTCTCACTGCTGGAGTTTTCTTTTTTTTTAATGTATCAGAAGGAGCTGGAACACACAAAGGTGGATTGGAACACCCAAAACTATCAAGTGGACAGGACCAAGCAGGGAATTCTACAAGGGAAATCTTCCTGCTTAAGAACCCAAGACACACAAGAAGCCTGAGGCTGACCCTTTAACAGGGAGATACACCCAAAGTGGACCTTCACCCAGGGGGAGTATTTACTGCAAGGCAAACAAGGCATATTTCAGGGGGGCAGCACCACCTTCCGGAAGAAGGGACACATGCGGCATGGGGAGCAGGTGGGATCCAAGAGAGGCTGCGGGCTGCTTGATGGTGTATGCAGAGCCTGACTCTTGTTCCCAGGGATGTCCGGAGCTGCGAGTATCTTTCTCTCTAGCGCTGGTGGGGGGGGGGGTTTGCTGGTATATGGGGGGTGTTTGTGTTGCCTAGGGCAGCACAAACCTTAAATACGCCACTGCCTTCACCCATGAAAATATCTTTTTCGTTCTTTGGTCCTCCCCCCTCCCTCTTACATAATTGGCATACAGGTCAGAAAACAAAGCATGTGTGTGCAGGACCAGACGAACTCCATACATGTGTGCAGATGTGCTGCAGGTCCCTGTTAGGTCTTTAGGACCTAACATATGTGCATGCACAGGATATCTAAAGATGGTGGCATGGAACAGAATCAGGGGGGGAGGACAATATTCCCCAGCTAAAGTTCCCCTTTAAATTCAGATTCTCTTCAATCCATAAAAATTAGAAATTTATTTTCTAAAATCTGGTGGGCCACACTTTTTCATAATGGTTTTTCCATCAATAGCCTCCAACAGAGGCTGGCACAAGTAACAAAACTGACCTTTTACACAGAAAGCTCAGCGGATATAATACATGGCCTACCTTGAAGGACTACTGATCGCCTCCGCTCACCCAACAAGATGGCAACTTCGCTGGCTTTCTTCAGGCATAACCTATAAAAAAAAGGAATGCATGCATTTTAAAAGGGAAAGTAAAGTATATTTTCAATTAGAATATTTTGAGTTATTATTGCAGTGTGTAACTTAAAGCAAGAGTCTCCAAACTTTCTAAATAAAGGGCCTGTTAACTGTCTTTCAAACTTTAGGGGGGCAAGACTGTAGCCAGTGGGAGAAGAAAATGCCCTGGCATCAATGGGAGTAAACAATGCCCCATCATTGGTATTAGGGGGAGTAATAGTGCTCCATCATTGGTGTCAGTGGGTGTTTTAGTGCCCTATCATTGGTGTCAGTGGGTATATTAGTGCCCCATCATTGGTGTCAGTGGGAGGAATAGTGTCCCATCATTGGTGTCAGTGGGAGGAATAGTGTTCCATCATTGGTATCAGTGGGAGGAATAGTGCCCCGTCATTGGTGTCAGTGGGAGGAATAGTGTCCCATCATTGGTATCAGTGGGAGGAATAGTGCCCCATCATTGGTATCAGTGGGAGGAATAGTGCCCCATCATTGGTGTCAGTGGGAGGAATAGTGTCCCATCATTGGTATCAGTGGGAGGAATAGTGCCCCATCATTGGATCAATGGGGGAAATAGTGCCCCATCATTGGGGTCAATGGAAGGAATAGTGCCCCATCACTGGTATTAGGGGGAGTAATAGTGTCCCATCATTGGTATTAATTGGAGAAATAGTGCCCCATCATTGGTGTCAGTGGGAGGGATAGTACCCGATCATTGGTATCAATCAGGGGAATAGTGCCCCATCACTGGTACCAGTAGAAGTAACGGTGCCCCGACACTGCTGCTAGTGGGAGGAATGGTTCCTCATCATTGGTATCAATGAGAGGAATAATCCTCCATCATTGTTGTCTGTGGGAGGAATAGTGCTCCATCATTGTTGTCTGTGGGAGGAATAGTGTCCCATCACTGGTATCAATGGGAGGAATAGTGCTCCATCATTGTTGTCTGTGGGAGGAATAGTGCTCCATCATTGGTGTCTGTGGGAGGAATAGTGCTCCATCATTGTTGTCTGTGGGAGGAATAGTGCTCCATCATTGGTGTCTGTGGGAGGAATAGTGCCCCATCATTGGCATTAGTGGGAGGAATAGTGCCCCATTATTAGGATCAATGGGAGAAATAGTGTCCCATTGTTGGTCTCAGTGGGGATATTGCCCCATCATTGCTGACAGTGGGGAGGGAAATAATGCCCCAAGGACCAGATAAAAGCAAGCAAAGGGCTGCATGTGGCCCCTGGGACGCAGTTTGGAGACCCCCTGCCTCAAAAGCAATGCTATTGTTAAAACTGCCAAAGATCGGTCCCCTCAAAATCAGATAGTGACTACTCATCTCTCCCTGTGCTCAAAGCAGGGGCGGACTGACCATTTGGAAACTCGGGCTCTGCCCTAGGGCCCGGGGTCAGTAAGGGGTCCCATGAGATGCCCCTGGTATCTTTTTCATAGGCTTTTTTGAGTTTGGGAAAAGACACAGGGGCCCCATGATCCCCTATTGCCCGGGGGCCCCATGAGTTGTCAGTCCGCCCCTGGCTCAAAGCCAGCTCCATAAAAACATGGTTTGCCCAATTTGGTATGTGGGAACTCCAGTGGCATGGACAGAGTCTCGACCTCAACCCTGCTGAACTAAGATTAACTGAAATGTAGATTGCGAACCATTTCTTCTCATCCAACATCAGAAACTGACCACACAATTGATATTTATCAAATGGACACAAATTCCCCCAGACACCCAAAAACATTTATTATACAGTGGAGGCTGTTATAGCTGCAGAGAAAGGCATTACCTCACATAGTCAAGCCACCTGGTTCCTTCCAGGTTGGAAAGCCATTTCTCATCAGGTGTGGGTGTTGATGTATCTATAAAAAGAAGAAAATATCCATTTATAAAAGGCTATAAGTAGATAAGATATGAAATATGTCTTTTGTAGACAACCACTGAAGAATAGCAAGGTTAGCAAGGACCAGGGGCGGACTGACCATTTGGAAACTCGGGCACTGCCCGAGGGCCCGGGGTCAGTAGGGGGCCCCATGAGATGCCCCTGGTACCTTTTTCATAGGCTTTTTTGAGTTTGGGCAAGGACACAGGGGCCCCATGATCCCTTATTGCCCGGGGGCACCAGGAGTTGTCAGTCCGCCCCTGGCAAGGACTGACCTTGGTTTGGTCAACAGGCACTTGGAAAAAGACCATAGAGGGACCTTTCTCCTAAAGAGACACTAAATAAAATCCTTATTCCCAAAAAATAATCCTGAACCTGACTGCAGCAAACGTGAGCAGCGAGTGTTTGTTGTGGTCATGTGCACTACTCTATGCACTCTACAAATCTCATAGTCCATCTCAGGAGTGAGCAAGAGATGGTGGCTTTGTTACTACAAACAGTGGGACCATGCAATATGAACGTAGTCACTCTATAACAAGAACCTGGATCACAGCATCAAAAAAAAAATGGAAATTTGGAAGAGGCTGAGAGCAACAGATGGGACTTTACGAAGTTAAGAATTTTTTTTTAAACCAGAGTTTATCGTCATTTTAACATCTGCCCCTATGAACGGTGGTAGGATTTATTAGTCCAGCCATCCTTAACCATAGTTCCTCCAAAGGTTAGTAGGGATTCCTTGAGCTGTGGCTGACTTGTAGGCAGGTACAATCTAATTCTCCACTGCAGGTGGCGCTCGTCCAGAACGGTAGTGAAGCTGGGGGAGGAAGTCAAGAGAAAATGGGTTTCTCTACGATTCCCTTAGTCTCCTGGGATGGCATTCTGATTGGCTTTGGTGATTCCAAGTGACCCTGGTAGCCATCTTGGGTCATGAAGAGTCTTTTTTAAGTCACTGCCTCCAGGATTTGGCGTGCATTTTGTGAGTGGATAGTGCAGGAAACCCCATATATCAGGGACAGCACTAGAAGTAGGGAGAAGTTCCAGGAGTAGGGAAAGCTTAGGGCCTATGTCTGCACCTTAGCAACCCAATGGGTTGGACTGGCAAAGACCTAACTCCACTCTCCTTGACAGGCTCTCCAGCTTTGGCCTTCTCTCTGCTCTAACTAGTGTTCTCCGGTCAGGCTGTTGTACCGTTTGACAAGTTCTGCAAATACATTTTTTTTCTGCAATCAGGGGGACTCTGTTTTCTGCTGCCGCACCATGCTGTATCTACCCAATACACTGACCCCTCATCTCATACTTTGTGCACAGTTAGAGAGCCTATGTCACTGGAAAGAGTCAGTGGCATACCACCAATAATCTTTTACATGTCTGCATGGGTGGCCTTCTCATTGACCACCAATGTAAGGAGGCACTTCACTTTTCCACTAATCACCGACTTTTAATTTTTTTTATTATTTCTTATAATTATTTTGTGATTATAACTGAATTTAATTTTAATTTAGAGTGTTTTGTGTTAAAAATGATCCACCATGATTATCATATATACTCTAGGTATGCCATATTCTTTATTATTTTATTATTATATTTACTTTATAATGTACGAACATTGATAATATAGCATAATAAATAATATACCATAAGCTCTACATATCATTTTAAAAAAGGGGTTCCCTGAGATCTGTAGATGATTTCAAGGGTTCCTCTGGGGTAAAATGACTGAGGAAGGCTGTATTAGTCCTTCAAAGTAACCCGATCAGAAAGAGTTAAAACATTAGCTGTTTATTCAGGAAGCTCTCCGTTACATCAATGAAACCTGTAGACATATTATTGATCTAGTAGCCGACCTGAAGCTAGTTTAATGGAGTGGAGAAGGAATTGTTTGCCCTTGTGAATAGTAAGTCCGATATTAAATAGAGTCGTCTTTCCACTTGACTTCCTTCAAATCTAATCAAAGGTGATCAAGGCTTCAGATAAAGAAATAAAAGGAAAACAAAATCATAGTTCTATTTGATTTCAAGGTAGCTTGCATTTTTATTTTTTTTCTTTTGATTCCCGAAAGAGAAGGGCTTGAAGCGGAACTATAGTTCCACTGTCGCAAACTGCGAGCAGGCAGGCTTTTTATTGTAGAAAAGACTTCTACAATAAAATACACCGACCTGCCTGCTTGCTGTATTTTATGGCATGTAAACTAAGCTGTGCATGTGCCGCTCAGCCTACGTTGGTGAAACAGTCCCTGTGTGTAGGGATGGCTGACTTCTGTGCATGCGCAGGAGTCATATCATTCTGTGCTGGACCGAAGAATGGCACCAAGAAAAATACGCTGGTGAGGAGGGGCGGACTGACCATTCGACACTCAGGCACTGCCCGAGGGCCGGGGTCAGTGGGGAGCCCCATGAGATGCCCCTGGTACCTTTCATAGGCTTTTTTGGGTGTGGTTTGAGGCCCCATGATCTCTTATTGCCCGGGGCCCCATGAGTTGTTAGTCCACCCCTGCTGGCGAGGGACGGGGACCATTGAAGGGAAGTTTAGCTCCGCTTTAAGACTCCCATTTCACATTTACATGCCCATGTAGACAGCAGTTTGCGCATGCATGAGACTCCATTCACTTGACTCCCAGGAAAGAAGTTCCTGCACTACTTTGGAAATCGCAGCCCACACGGGGAGCGAGGTTCCCAATGTGGGTTTGATTACCAGTGAGGGCGGCGTGCCATTAGGATAAATGACACCCGCTCGCGGGTCCCACATTTCACAGTGTGTGTGGTTGCAGCTGCCAGAATTTGTGTGGTTCTTTTAGCAATCCTATGAGAAAGTCACTCTGTTCAAGACGAATTGCGTCAAAGGCGTGGCTACGTGACGTCATTATGCCGGCAGCACAAGGTCAGCCATCTTACTTACTGTACTTTGGATGGATGTTTTTCCTTAAGGGGGCAACTTGTAATGAAATAGGCAATTATTGTTGTGCGTGGGAATAGTACACTATGTTTGTATGTTTTTTTATATATGTGAATAAATTGACATCATGGGGCTACTACACTATAAAAGATCTTTTATTCTTTTCCTTACCATACTGGTTTTTATGAGAACCATTGAGCTGCTGACAGGAGTCTGAGAAGAGAGAAATTGTATAACCCATGATATTGGGAACAGTGGTGTATTTATTTTTCGTGCTGCCCTAGGCAACACAAAAATTGGCTCCCCCCCACAGAGAGACCCTGACACCAACACCCCCCTCCCCGACAAAAAGAGCCTGACATTGACCAACGACACCCCAGCCCCACCCCCCTACCTGAGAGAGCCTTCCACTACCCACTCCCCCCCCCCCTCCGGAAATCCCTGGGAACAAGAGTCATGCTCTGCATACACTATCAAGCAGCCCACAGCCTCTGATCAGATCCCACCTGGTCCCCATGCTACGTGTGTCCCTTCTTCCATCCCTTCTTTCGGGTGGCAATGCTACCCCCCTGAAAATTGCCGCCCTAGGCAAATGCCTTGTTTGCCTTGTGGTAAATACTCCCCTGATTGGGAAGGCTGGTTTTGAGAATCGGTCAATAAGTGGAGGTAAGCAGCAGTATTGACAGGTGGAGGCACAGGGTGGTGTAGCAGCATGTGGATATTGGGAGCACGTTTCTTACTATACATGTGTGGACATTGTACTGTTAACACAAATTTGGAGCATGTGAAGAGATCTTTTGCAGTTTTTATGAGGCCTTTATTATCATTATACTATGTAATTTTTGTACTCTGCATGTTGAAATATTTATTTTTTTTCACTGAGCTATTGGGTTGCTTTATTTATTTATTTTATACACATATTTTTGAGTGTACATTTATAGAAAACATTTGGTTGCGATTCAGTATTGTGCATTCTTTGTCTCATTGTGTGTGTAGGCATGCAATATTGGACTTATTAAACAGATTCTAAAGGCTGAAGGTTTTTTACCTTCATTTATTCTAGGTATGAAGGTTATAAAACCTGTTTGCAGCGTCTCCCCCAGCCCCCCTCCCCCCCCAATCCTTACTTGGTCCCCCTCCGATCCAGCAACGTTCTCAACAGCCTCTGCTGTCTGGGGACTCTTCCTCCTCATTGGCTGAGACAGCAGCCTCTGCTGTCTGGGGACTCTTCCTCCTCATTGGCTGAGACAGCAGTGGGAGCCCATTGGCACACAGCCAATGGCACACAGCCAATCACAGCCAGTGAGCCAATGGGGAGAGAGTGGGCATGGGGCAGAGCCGCTGCTCTCTATGTCTCATGGAGGTATAGAGCAGCAACTTGGGGCCGAGCACTTGGGCCCCCTCCGATCCAGCAACGTTCTCAACAGCCTCTACTGTCTGGGGACTCTTCCTCCTCATTGGCTGAGACAGCAGTGGGAGCCCATTGGCTGTTAATCACAGCCAGTGAGCCAATGGGGAGAGAGTGGGCATGGGGCAGAGCCGCTGCTCTCTATGTCTTATGGAGGTATAGAGCAGCAACTTGGGGCCGAGCACTTGGGCCCCTTCCGATCCAGCAACGTTCTCAACAGCCTCTGCTGTCTGGGGACTGTTCCTCCTCATTGGCTGAGACAGCAGCCTCTGCTGTCTGGGGACTCTTCCTCCTCATTGGCTGAGACAGCAGTGGGAGCCCATTGGCACACAGCCAATGGCACACAGCCAATCACAGCCAGTGAGCCAATGGGGAGAGAGTGGACATGGGGCAGAGCCGCTGCTCTCTATGTCTTATGGAGGTATAGAGCAGCAACTTGGGGCCGAGCACTTGGGCCCCCTCCGATCCAGCAACGTTCTCAACAGCCTCTGCTGTCTGGGGACTCTTCCTCCTCATTGGCTGAGACAGCAGTGGGAACCCATTGGCTGTTAATCACAGCCAGTGAGCCAATGGGGAGAGAGTGGGCATGGGGCAGAGCCGCTGCTCTCTATGTCTTATGGAGGTATAGAGCAGCAACTTGGGGCCGAGCACTTGGGCCCCTTCCGATCCAGCAACGTTCTCAACAGCCTCTGCTTTCTGGGGACTTTTCCTCCTCATTGGCTGAGACAGCAGTGGGAGCCCATTGGCTGTTAATCACAGCCAGTGAGCCAATGGGGAGAGAGTGGGCATGGGGCAGAGCCGCTGCTCTCTATGTCTTATGGAGGTATAGAGCAGCAGCTTGGGGCCGAGTAAGCAGCGGTGCCCCCAGGGCGAGCAGCTTTCCCTGGGGGCACTGCTTGAGGAAGGGCAACTTTCTCTGAGGGCACTGCTTGAGGAAGAGCAACTTTCCCTGGGGGCACTGCTTGAGGACGAGCAGCCAGAAGCACCAGCGGAGACCAAAAAAGAGTACACTGCACAGAGCAGGTAAGTATAGACATGTTTGCTAGTTTTTAAAAAAAAAGAAAACAAAACTTTGGTGTCACTTTAAGATTGCAAGCTCCTTAGTCCTAGTATGTGTGTATGCATTTGAGACAGATACCTTAGATTGTAAGCTCTTTGGCCTAGTAAGAGAATCTATATGCATGCAATTGGCACAAATGGTTTGCATCTTCCTCAGAAATTTGCAAAGGGTAACAAGGCTGTATAAACCAACCAAATCTAAGGTCAGTCTTTAGGAGTCAGAAGACTACAAAACGACAAAATACTAGTTCACAGAGCAATGGTGATGGTAAAATTCTTGAATCCCAGCTCAACAGCCTGAGAACCATCCAGAGCATTGTAATAGAACGACTTACCTGCTGAGCACAAGCTGCGCAATTTAAGGTAAGAGATCTGGATGTCGGAGATGGAAGGAAGATCCTCAGAGGTGTCGATGACCACACACTGCGAATGGTTGGCAAATAACAGCAGTCTCATCGACCTGGAACAGCAGAGCTCAAATTAGCAATGAGCTAAAGCAGGGCTCTACTAAGGGAGACACGCAGGCTGCTGTCCTTTAAAAATCCTAATTTCCTAGTTTCTCGGTTTAGGACTTTGGGGTGTATTTATGAAAAATTTGCTAAGCTGTTTGCCTTTCAAAATGGCATGTAATTCAATTCTGTGTGAAAGAGTCAAAACTGAATGTTCTCAGGCTATATTTGCTGCAACTCAAATGTGTGAATGAGGGAAAATACCACTTATGGTCACTAGATGGCACCGAGGAGCATTCTTATTTCCTATAACAGTTAGCGCCATCTAGTGGCATAGAAAACTCTGCAACACCAGTTGGAGGGTATGTAATAACTAAATCTTTTTCTGTATGTTTGATATTGGCTTCTGTTTTCTTGAGTTACTGTTTCTTAGATAGAGATCCTGCCAAAAACAGAACCGGCTTATGTTTTCTTAAGTTACTGTTTCCTAGATAGAGATCCTGCCAGTAAAAGAACCGGCTTATGTTTTCGTAAGCAAACTTGTTACTGTTTCTTAGCTAGAGATCCTGCCAATAACAGAACTTCCTGTTGCAGGCCGACAATGTCAAGCCACTGCCACACAAGTAGCTGGACCGTTATCATTCCTGCTGATTGTACTCCTTTAAGTGGCCATTGAGATGCCTGTCTCATAAACTTGATAGGCAGCTCTAGGGCCAACTAAAGGAGCTGCCACAGCGGGATGACAGCGCTGTTACTAATTGGTAGGCAAAATCTTAGCGTTAGCGACCTGAAACAAGAAGTGCTGTTATTGGCAGGATCTCTGGAAATTTTGCTTTAGATTCATTTAAAAAAAAAAATTGCTTAAGAAAATGGTACACGGTGAGATATGATGCCAAACATACTGACATAGTACACTTTGGGCTCCATTTACAAAATGTCCGCACAGGTGTCATAAATAATCCCAATAATAAGTCTAATATGTTTATTTCCTATGATCACAGATCCACCTAGTGGCCATAATACAGTATTTCCTGAAATACCTCAACCCCTTGACGCAGACGTAACACAAATATGCGGCCTCACAGAACTTTTTTCCGTGGGGCCGCATATTTGCGTACCTGTCTTTCTGCTGGGAGTGCGCCTCTCAGTGCGCTCCCAGAACAAAGACCGCGGTGTCACTGAGAGCCCCGGGTCCCATTCCAACGATCAGGACCCGGGACTCCGGATTCCGGGTTACATGATCGCTGTGATAGCCCCTGATTGGCTATCACAGTGATCAGTCACTGTACAGCTCGGCCCCTTTGTGTTTTATTTTCTCTCTATGAATGGAGGAGAGAGATACATTTTATCTCTCTAACTCCTAGCATAGAGGGGAAAAAAAAAATTTGTAAAGAAAAAAAAAAAAAAAGGATAAATAAATAAATATTAAAAAAGAAAAGAAAAAAATAAACAAAAAAAATACCTAGATCAAGGTTTGATCTAATTCAGTGCCAGGGTAAGTGTTTGGATCAAGGTTGGGGTCAAAGGTCGGGATTTATTTATTTTTTTTTTAAATTTGGTATCAGTGTTCGTGTGTTTTAGGTAAAAAAAAAAACAAAACAAAAAAAACAAAACAAAATGCGCACTATTGTTTCTGGGCTGTAAAAACAACAAATAACATACACATATATGGTATCGCTGCGATCGTCAAGAGCTGGAAAATTTATTTTGGGTTGTTCTTTAGTGGTAGGTTATGGTAGTAACAAGAAACACAAAGCAAAATTTAAAAAAAAAAATTATTATTTTTTTTTTTTTTTTTGCTATTTTGGGCCAGTTTTCCTTAGAGGGAAAAAAAAAAAAGATAAATAAATATTAAAAAGAAAAGAAAAAAAATAAAGAAAAAATACCTAGATCAAGGTTTGATCTGGTTCAGTGCCAGGATAAGTGCTTGGGTCGGGGTCAAAGGTCAGGATTTTTTTTTTTTTTTTAAATTTGGTATCAGTGCCAGTGTGTTTTAGGTAACAAAAAACAAAATGCGGACTATTGTTTCTGGGCTGTACTACGGGTACAAACAACAACTAACATACACATATATGGTATCGCTGTGATCGTCAAGAGCTGGAAAATGTATTTTGGGTTGTTCTTTAGTGGTAGGTTATGGTAGTAACAAGAAACACATAGCAAAATTTAAAAAAATGGGTTTTTTTTTACTATTTTGGACCAGTTTTTCTTAGAGGGAAAAAAAAAAAAAAAAAAAAAAAAAAAAAAAAGATAAATAAATATTAAAAAATAAAAAAATAAAGAAAAAGTACCTAGATCAAGGTTTGATATAGTTCAGTGCCAGGGTAAGTGTTTGGGTCAAGGTCAGGGTCAAAGGTCAAAAATTAAAAAAAAAAAATTTGGTGTCAGTGTGTTTTAGGTAAAAAAAAAAAAAAAAACCCAAACAAAATGTGCACTATTGTTTCTGGGCTGTACTGTGGGTACCAGGGGCGGACTGACCATTTGGAAACTCAGGCACTACCCGAGGGCCCGGGGTCAGTAAGCGGCCCCATGAGATGCCCCCGGTACCTTCATAGGCTTTTTTGAGTTTGGGCAAGGACACAGGGGACCCATGATCCCCTATTGCCCGGGGGGGCCCCATGAGTTGTCAGTCCGCCCCTTGTGGGTACAAACAACAAATAACATACATAAATATGGTATCGCTACGATCGTCAAGAGCTGGAGAATTTATTTTGGGTTGTTCTTTGGTGGTAGGTTATGGTAGTAACAAGAAACACACAAAAAAAATATATATTTTTTTTACTATTTTGGGCCAGTTTTCCTTTGATAATAAAAAAAAAAAAACAGGAGCTATCCATTACCATTTACCACCAAACGAAAGCCCAATTTGTCCTGAAAAAAACGCGGTATAATTCACCTGGATGTACAAAGTAGTTGTGATGATATGCACGGGTTTACTAACACATGTCAACGTTGCAAATTTGTGCTTAGGCATTAAGATTTGTCTTACCCTTAGGCATGAAGGGGTTAATCAGTAAAAATACAACATTATGGCCACTAGATGGAGCTGACGATCATAGGAAATAAACATATTAGGCACTATGGGATTATTCACGACAGCTAAGTGAATACTGAGGCATTTCAGTGGTTTTTTTTTATTAGACCCCTTTAATTGCAAAGAGTTTCTGTGCTAAAACTACACAGTACAGATATCCAAACATATAATTTCGGTATATAAAGATAATAAATTAATTATAGAATGCTTTAAACTGTGTAAATCTAATAAAGTCCCACAGAAACCTAAAAAAAGAGTCCAAAAAAGTCCCACTTTCACCCCTGAAAGTGAATCAAAATGCAAAACCTTTTTTTGTGCCAGTCAATAAATTGAAATGCAAAATAAAATCCACAAAAATAAAGTCCACAAAAATAATTACAAAAATTTCTCTTCCGTGTCCAACTTGCACCTCCTCTTTTTTGCACGTATTTGTGTTAAGTATATACTTATTGTTTGTTCAAAGTACCGTATATACTAGCTGTTATCAAAGGTAATGCACTGTAGTATTTTATATTTTTTGAGGTACACACTGGATTTTTGTGGAGGTGCAAGTTGGACACGGAAGATACATTTTTGTAATTATTTTTGTGGACTTTATTTTTGTTTTTGGCTTTATCTGTACTTTAATCCATACTTCATAGAGAGGAGTCCATGATACTGCAGGACTATGCTCACTGAGAGAAATACAATGTATAGAATGGGAATTAACACGATCACTTATGCAGGCCATAGACGGGGAGAAAACCGTACGGTTTTTTTTTTTTAGAAAAACAAAAAAAATCGGTCGTTCAATCAGCCGACGTTACCACCATTGGTAAAAAAAAGTCGGCTGATTTTCGTCCCGTCTACGGCTGGCAATAGAATATGCAGAAGAAGAAGAAATAGAATATGAATAAAAAGAAGAAATAGAATATGCAGAATATGCAGAAGAAGAAGAAATAGAATATGAATAAAAAGAAGAAACAGAATATGCAGAAGCAGAAGAAACAGAATATGAATAAAAAGAAGAAACAGAATATGAAGAAGAAGAAGAAATAGAATATGAATAAAAAGAAGAAATAGAGTATGCAGAATATGCAGAAGAAGCAGAAGAAATAGAATATGAAAAAAAAGATGAAACAGAATATGAAGAAGAAGAAGAAGAAGAAATAGCATATGAATAAAAAGAAGAAATAGAATATGAAGAAGAGGAAATAGAATATGCAGAAGAAGTAGAAATAGAATATGAATAAAAAGAAGAAACAGAATATGAAGAAGCAGAAGAAATAGAATATGAATAAAAAGAAGAAATAGAATATGCAGAATATGCAGAAGAAGAAGTAGAAATAGAATATGAATAAAAAGATGAATCAGAATATGAAGAAGTAGAAGAAGCAGAAATAGCATATGAATAAAAAGAAGAAATAGAATATGCAGAATAAGAAGAAATAGAATATGAATAAAAAGATGAATCAGAATATGAAGAAGAAGAAGAAGAAGCAGAAATAGCATATGAATAAAAAGAAGAAATAGAATATGAAGAAGAAGAAATAGAATATGAATAAAAATAAGAAATAGAATATGAAGAAGAAGAAATAGAATATGAATAAAAAGAAGAAATAGAATATGCAGAATATGCAGAAGTAGAAGAAATAGAATATGAATAAAAAGAAGAAACAGAATATGAAGAAGAAGAAATAGAATATGAATAAAAAGAAGAAATAGAATATGCAGAATATGCAGAAGTAGGAGAAATAGAATATGAATAAAAAGAAGAAACAGAATATGAAGAAGAAGAAATAGAATATGAAGAAGAAACAGAATATGAATAAAAAGAAGAAATAGAGTATGCAGAATATGCAGAAGAAGAAGAAATAGAATATGAATTAGAAGAAAAAGTTGCAACATTGTATCTATTTGTATCCATTTCATATAGATGTTTCTATTCGGATACAAATAGATACAATGTTGCTATACTTTTAAATGTCAAATATAATGGACTGAAAATCTTTTTTTTCTTCTTTTTCTTCATATTCAATTTCCTCTTTTTTCTTCATATTCTATTTCTTCTTCTCTTTATATTCTATTTCTTCTTTTTATTCATATTCTATTTCTTCTTCTCATTCATATTCTCTTTTTTTCCTTTTCTTCTTTTCCTTCTTCTTTCATGTCACTGCTCATGCGCATTTTTTAAAATCGGAAAAAGATCAGCAGATTTGTCCATCATTGCCGCGAAAATTGGCAGAACGACAAATTTGGCCGATTATTTCCCAGCAGGACCGATAATCGAAAAAAGGGCAAAAATCACTAAAAACGGCCGACCGATTACCGCACTAACGATCTGAAAATCGGCCGATTTTTTTTTTTTTCGCCCGATTTTCGGCCGTTTTTCATCCCATCTATGGCCCGCATTAGTCCCTTACAAAATCACAGTTTTCATTTTGATGGTCTGGCTTATGGCAATACAAATGTCCTCCGGTTCCGTGTCTCATAGGTTTGTGTGGTGGAGAGACACTGCAACAGTATCTGTATATGTGACTCTGCACGGTATAGTAAGGCACAGCAGTACCGAGTGATACAGGAGTAAGGGAACACTCATCCGTGCTTCAATTACATGTCACGACCCCTTGTCCTGCCATTTCCCTGGAAAGATGTATTTGTTTACTTCCCATTGTCTCCTCTTCATCTCATTCATAGACCACATGGTTATCTGTACTGTATATGCAAAACCTTTTTTGTGCCAGTCAATAAATTGAAATGCAAAATAAAATCCACAAAAATAAAGTCCACAAAAATAATTACAAAAAGTTTTCTTCCGTGTCCAACTTGCACTTCTACAAAAATCCAGTGTGTACCTCAAAAAATATAAAATACTACATACTGCATTACCTTTGATAACAGCTAGTATATACTTTAACCCCTTCACGCCGGCCGCACGTCTGGGCCTAGACGCCGAGCTGCCGCACATTTGTGTTCATGTAACAAAAAAACATGTGCTGAGAGCGCGCGCCCTGCACGCGCCCTGCACACATGTCCGGTACCCACGGAAAGGTCCCGGTCTGCTCTTTCGATCGGGACCTTTCCCAATCATGTGACCGCCGTGGCGACGCATCACGGCGGTCACATGATCCCTAAACCACGCCCCTCCCACCGTCTGAAACCCTTAAAGGGCCGGGAGGCGCCGGCGGGAAGGGGTTAAACAAACAATAAGTATTTACTTAACACAAATACATGCAAAAAATAGGAGGTGCAAGTTGGACACGGAAGATACATTTTTGTAATTATTTTTGTGGACTTTATTTTTTTGGATTTTATTTTGCATTTCAATTTATTGACTGGCACAAAAAAGGTTTTGCATATACAGTACAGATAACCATGTGGTCTATGAATGAGATGAAGAGGAGACAATGGGAAGTAAACAAATACATCTTTCCAGGGAAATGGCAGGACAAGGGGTCGTGACATGTAATTGAAGCACGGATGAGTGTTACCTTACTCCTGTATCACTCGGTACTGCTGTGCCTTACTATACCTTGCAGAGTCACATATACAGATACTGTTGCAGTGTCTCTCCACCAGGGGCAGACTGACAACTCATGGGGCCCCCGGGCAATAGGGGATCATGGGGCCCCTGTGTCCTTGCCCAAACTCAAAAAAGCCTATGAAAAAGGTACCAGGAGCATCTCATGTGGCCCACTACTGACCCCGGGCCCTCGGGCAGTGCCCGAGTTTCCAAATGGTCAGTCCGCCCCTGCTCTCCACCACACAAATCTATGAGACGCTGAACCGGAGGACATTTGTATTGCCATAAGCCAGACCATCAAAATTAATACTGTGATTTTGTAAGGGACTAAGTGATCGTGTTAATTCCCATTCTATACATTGTATTTCTCTCAGTGAGAATAGTCCTGCAGTATCAGGGACTCCTCTCTATGAAGTATGGATTCAAGTACAGATAAAGCCAAAACTTCTTTTAGTTTTGATAGAGTAAGGAAGGTGCCAACTGTGCCCCAGGGAAGGGGGAGTTTCCTCTTAGACAGTTGTCACCGCAAATTGGAAGAATTTCTCTATATTCTTGTTTTGATGACTATGGAGAATTGGGTTTGGTCTGAGTAAAGCATTGGTCTTCAAACTGTGGCCCGGGTGGCCAGATATGGCCCTTTGCTTGCTTTTATCCAGCCCTTGGGACACTATTTCATACACTGATATCAATAATGGGAAATAATTGCCCAAGTGACATCAATGAAGGGGCACAGCTCCCCCCCAATGACACCCATCGATGGGGCACAATTCCTCCCAATGACATCAACGAAGGGGCACAATTCCTCCCAATGACATCAACGAAGGGGCACAATTCCTCCCAATGACACCATTGATGAGGCACAATTCCTCCCAATGACATACAACAATGGATCCCAATGATAGGACACTATTACTCCCAAAGACACCAATGATAAGGCACAAATACTTCCACTGACACCAATGGAGGGGCAAAATTCCTACCAAAAACGGGACACAATTCCTCCCAATGACATACAACAATGGATTCCAATGACATCAATGATAGGGGACTATTCCTCCCGATGACACCAATAATAGAGCACAATTCCTCCCACTGACACCAATGATGGGGCATAATTACTCCCACGGACACCAATGATGGGGCACAATTCCTCCCACTGACACCAACAATGGGGCACAATTTCTTCCAATTATATACAACAATGGATCCCAATGACGGGGCACTATTCCTCCCAATAACACCAATTATAGAGCACAATTCCTCCCACTGACACCAATGATGGAGCACAATTCTTCCCACTGACACCAACGATGGGACACAATTTCTTCCAATGATATACAACAATGGATCTCAATGACGGGGCACTATTCCTTCCAATGACAGGGCACAATTCCTCCCACTGACACCAACGATGGGGAACAATTCCTCCCACTGACACCAATGATGGGGCATAATTCCTCCCACTGACACCAACAATGGGGCACAATTTCTTCCGATGGTATACAACAATGGATCCCAATGACGGGGCACTATTCCTCCCAATGACACCATTGATGGGACACAATTCCTCCCACTGACACCAACGATGGGGCACAATTCCTCACACTGACACCAGAAATGGGGCACAATTCCTTCCAATGATATACAACAAAGGATTCCAATGACACCAATGATGGGGCACTATACCTCCCAAAGACGCCAATGATAGGGCACAATTCATCCCACTGACACTAACGATGGGGCACAATTCCTTCTGCGCACAGCAAAGATGGAGCACAATTCCTCCTACTGACACCAACAATGGGGCACAATTCCTCCCACTGACACCAAAGACGGGGCACTATTTATCCCACTGACACCAACGATGGGGCACAATTCCTCCCACTGACACCAATAATGAAGCATTGTTTTTTCCCACTGATATCAGAACCTAATCTACTCCCAATGGTAGTCCAGCCCCCCTAAAGTCTGAAGGACAGTAATCTGGCCCTTTGTTTAGAAAATTTGGAGATCCCTGCTTTAGAGAATACATGTGGGCAGCCCAGGGGCGGACTGACCATTGGAAACTCGGGCACTGCCGGAGGGTCCGGGGTCAGTAGGGGGCCCCATGAGATGCCCCTGGTACCTTTTTCATAGGCTTTTTTGAGTTTGGGCAAGGACCAGGGGTGGACTGACAACTCATGGGGTCCCCGGGCAATAGGGGATCATGGGGCCCCTGTGTCCTTGCCCAAACTCCAAAAAGCCTATGAAAAAGGTACCAGGGGCATCTCATGGGCCCCCTACTGACCCCGGGCCCTCGGGCAGTGCCCGAGTTTCCAATGGTCAGTCCGCCCCTGGGCTACCCACATGTATTCTCTAAAGCAAGGATCTCCAAATTTTCTAAACAAAGGGCCAGATTACTGTCCTTCAGACTTTAGGGGGGGCCGGACTACCAGGCAAGGACACAGTCCACCCCAGGCAAGGACACAGGGGCCCCATGATCCCCTATTGCCCGGGGGCCCCATGAGTTGTCAGTCCACCCCTGGGGCAGCCACAGCCAGAGTGATCCCATCAATGATTTGTATAGGCATCATGTCAGGGGCTGATTAGAACCTGTGGCTGAACTTGCTGCAAAAATACACTGATCTGCGTGGTGTACGGACCTCATCAGCCATGTGCAGGAGTCAGGGAGCAGCATCTGCTCAACATTACACAGTAGATCAGCCAAATGGTGACCAGATGTCATGAATTCAGCACCAATCCAGACACGCAGGTCAACCCTAGGCAGCCAGAAACATGGGCTTTGTCCGGATTGGTTACAACTGAGCACATGATAGATCAGGTATACATTTTCTAAGATCTTCAGAAGTCCATTCATTAGAAGGGAAAACCATTGAGATGGATCATCCGAACAGGGTTAGCCATCCGCCTCCCAAAGCCGTGCTTACTTCAGGTCCTCTTTATCGGGGTCGGTGTTGGATTGAAATCCAGCCGCTCTCAGCAGGTCACTTCCACACGGGTGATGCCACGACCATCGCTGTGTATTCAACACAAAAAAGGAGCCGGTGTAATACGATATTTCATACATATTAATACAGGGAGGAAGATCAGACGCGGCTCAGTACTCACAGCTATCCGCCTCTGCTGGAAATGTGCAAACGTCTTCTTCAGGTCGTTGTCCAAGAGCTTGCAGGGGACCACAAAGTACTTGGAGAGGCTGAAATAAAGACATCAAGGACTTTGAGGCCTGAGATTGTAAAGAAAGCATCCACTGTGTCGGCGCAGGAAACAGGTGCAAATCAATCAAATGTCACAGAGCCATTTAAAGCAGAACTAAAGTGCAAAAATTGGGAGTATTTCATTGCAGAAGAGGCTTGGTGTTCACAATCTTCATTAAGCCCCTTGCCTACCGGCAGGGGTGGACTGACGACTCATGGGGCCCCCGGGCAATAGGAGATCATGGGGCCCCTGTGTCCTCGTCCACACTCAAACCACACCCAAAAAAAGCCTATAAAAAGTACCAGGAGCATCTCATGGGGCCCCCTACTGACCCCGGGCCCTCAGGCAGTGCCCGAGTGCTCGAATGGTCAGTCCACCCCTGCCTACCGGGCACTTTCACCCCCTTCCTGCCCAGGTAAATTTTCAGCTTTCAGTGCTGTCGTACTTTGAATGACAATTACACGGTCATGAAACATTGTACCTAAATGAGATTTTTTATCATTTTAGAGCTTTTGGTTGTATTTAACCGCCCGCCATTTAAGGTAATGACGGGTGCAAGGCGGTTCTCTCGTTCATTCTAACCGCGCATGCACGGTTCCGGGGGGGGAGCGCAGCGCGGCGATCGGTGGTGCGCTGTGTCCCTTGGAAACAGCGGATCACCGATCAGCGGAAAAAGCCAAAGATGTCGGCTCGGTCATGTGATCAGCTGTGTCCAATTACAGCTGATCGCATGTAAATAAGGAAATGCCGGTTATCAACATTTCTCTCCTCACTAGCAGTCACGCTGACAGAAGAGAGGAGAGGAGAGCCGGTAATCGGCATTACTCAGAGGGGACATGTACCCTGATCATCAGGGCACTGATGATCAGTGTGCCCTGATGATCAGTGTAGCCCCAGCAGTGCCACCTGTCAATGCCCATCAATGCCAACTGTCAGTGCTCATCAATGCCACCTGCCAGTGCCTATCAATGCCACATCTATGCCACATATCAGTGCCCATCTGAGCTGCCTTTCAGTGTCACCTGTCAGTGCCACCTATCAATGCCAGTCAGTGCCACCTATCTGTGCCAGTCAGTGCCACCTATCGGTGCTAGTCAGTGCCGCCTAACAGTGCCAGTCAGTGCTACCTAACAGTGCCAGTCAGTGCCGCCTATCAGTGCCAGTCAGTGCCACCTACCAGTGCCTCCTCATCAGTGCCCATCAGTGCCACCTATCAGTGCAGCCTCATCAGCGCACATCAGTGAAGGAGAAAAATCACTTATTTACAAAAGTTTATAACAAAAACTAAGAAAAAACTTTTTTTTTTTTCAAAATTTTCAGTTGTTTTTGGTTTGTTTAGCAAAAAAAAAAAAAAATCCCCGAGGTGATTAAATACCATCAAAATAAAGCTCTATCTGTCTCAAAAAAAATGATAAAAATTTCATATGGGTACAGTGTTGCATGACCGCGCAATTGACATTCAAAGTGTGACAGCGCTGAAAGCTGAAAATTGGTCTGGGCAGGAAGGGGGTAGAAGTGCCCTGTAGGCGAGGGGTTAATCATCACTGGGTGTTTTATTTTTTTGACCTATAAATGAAAAAAGAGCGAAAATGTTTGGTTTTGCGATTTTATTTTTATTGGACCATTTACCTTTATCTTGTTATTCCTGGCTGTAGTTCTACTTTAACCATTTCCATACCGGGCAATTTTACACCTTCCTGCCCAGGCCAGTTTTCAGGTTTCAGCGCTCTCACACTTTGAATGACAATTGCGCGGTCATACAACATTGTACCCAAACTAAAATTTTATCATTTTCTTCACACAACTAGAGCTTTCTTTTGGTGGTATTTAATCACCGCTGGGGTTTTTATTTTTTGCTAAATTAACAAAAAAAGACCAAAAATTTTGAAAAAAAAAACACATTTTTCTTTGTTTCTGTATAAAAGTTTGCAAATAAATAATTGTTCTTCATAAATTTAGGCCGAGATGTATTCTGCTACATGTCTTTGGTGAAAATAACCCAAATTAGGATGTATTTTTTAGTTTGTAGGAAAGTTATAGATTTCACAAACTATGGTATAGATCTGAATATTGATCAATCCTGAAGTACTGACAACCAATCTAATTTCTTGAGGTCCAAGAATGTCAGAACAGTACAGATATCCCCCAAATGTCAGGACAGTACAGATATCCCCAAATGACCCCTTTTTGCAGAGTAGACAGTCCGACGTACTTCATAAGAGGCATGGCGAGTTTTTTGAAGTTGTATTTTTTTGTTCAAATTTTTCGGAAAATTAAAAAATGAAAAAAATTATTTTCACTATTTTGTTTTTTACATACTGTCACCAGTGCAGTACAGCATCATCATATAACTGGCATGGCGGTGAACAGGGACACTGACTGGTGACAGTATGAAAAAAAAAAAAATATATTTTTTTTTTTAATTTTTTTATTATATTTAATTTTTTATTACATTTTTTTTTTTACTTTTTTTAAGATTTTTTTTTCATATTTTACTATGACCAAAGTAGTACAATGTTACCATAGTAACATTGTACTACTTTGGGGAAGTGATCAGTATTTTTTTTTTTTTTTTTTTTACACAATTTGCTTACAGCAAAGAATGACTTTGCTATAAGCAAGCATTTACCTGAATGAAATCGATTCATTCAGCTGTTTTTGTTTTTTTTTTTTGTGCTTAGCTGTGATTTGGTCACAGCTAATCACATGACATGCGCATGTGATTAGCTGTGACCATTCACAGCAAGGCACTAGTATACAATGGATGGCATCATTTGTAATGTACAGCGCTGAGCGAACTATTGGCGCTTTATAAATACTGTATAATAATAATAATAATAATGAATGAAGCCATCCATTGTATACAACTGTCATGTGACCTGCTGTGATTGGCCACAGCAGGTCACATGGTACCAGCAACGGGAGCCAGTACTCGGATCTGTCATCGGCCGTGTCCGAGGTGCACGGCCGGTGACAGATCGCACTGCTGCGCCGCTCTGCATTAGCGCAAACGGCGCATGTGCGGGAGCACGCCAAATGGCGTGCACCCGGAATCAGGGACACATTTGAAGCCGCCAAACGGCCATTGGCCGGGCGGCTAATGGTTAATCACCGCCGGGGTTTTTATCTTTTGCTAAATTAGCGAAAAAAGTCCAAAAATTTTGAAAAAAAAACACACGTTTTTCTTTGTTTCTGTTATAAAAGTTTGCAAATAAATAATTGTTCTTCCTAAATTTAGGCCGAGATGTATTCTGCTACATGTCTTTGGTGAAAATAACCCAAATTAGGATGTATTATTTAGTTTGTAGGAAAGTTATAGAGTTCACAAACTATGGTATAGATCTGAACATTGATCAATCCTGAAGTACTGATGGCCAATCTAATTTCTTGAGGTCCAAGAATGTCAGAACAGTACAGATATCCCCCAAATGTCAGAACAGTACAGATATCCCCCAAATGTCAGCACAGTACAGATATCCCCCCAAATGTCAGAACAGTACAGATATCCCCCCAAATGTCAGAACAGTACAGATATCCCCCAAATGTCAGAACAGTACAGATATCCCCCAAATGTCAGAACAGTACAGATATCCCCCCAAATGTCAGGACAGTACAGATATCCCCCAAATGTCAGAACAGTACAGATATCCCCCCAAATGTCAGAACAGTACAGATATCCCCCAAATGTCAGCACAGTACAGATATCCCCCCAAATGTCAGAACAGTACAGATATCCCCCAAATGTCAGAACGGTACAGATATCCCCCAAATGTCAGAACGGTACAGATATCCCCCAAATGTCAGAACAGTACAGATATCCCCCAAATGTCAGAACAGTACAGATATCCCCCAAATGTCAGAATAGTACAGATATCCTCCCAAATGACCCCTTTTTGCAGAGTAGACAGTCCGACGTACTTCATAAGAGGAATGGCGAGTTTTTTGAAGTTGTATTTTTTTTGTCATAATTTTTCGGAAAATGAAAAAATTAAAAAAATTAGTTTCACAATTTTTTTTTTTACATACTGTCACCAGTGCAGTACAGCGTCATTATATAACTGGCATGGCGGTGATCAGGGACACTGACTGGTGACAGTATGAAAAAAAAATATATATTTTTTTATTATTTTTTATTAATTTTTTTTCTTTTTTTTAAGATTTTTTTTTCATATTTTACTATGACCAAAGTAGTACAATGTTACCATAGTAACATTGTACTACTTTGGGGAAGTGATCAGTATTTTTTTTTTTACACAATTTGCTTATAGCAAAGAATTACTTTGCTATAAGCAAGCATTTACCTGAATGACATCGATTCATTCAGGGTTTTTTTTTTTTGTGCTTAGCTGTGATTTGGCAGCAGCTAATCACATGACATGTGCATGTGATTAGCTGTGACCATTCACAGCTAGTCACATGACATATGCATGTGATTAGCTGTGACCATTCACAGCTAGACACTAGTATACAATGGATGGCATGAATGAAGCCATCCATTGTATACAACTGTCATGTGACCTGCTGTGATTGGTCACAGCAGGTCACATGGTACCGGCAACGGGGGCCAATACTCAGATCTGTCATCGGCTGTGTCCGAGGTACACGGACGGTGACAGATCGCAGATCTGCAGGAGCGCGATCTGCGCATGTGCGGGAGGACGCCATATGGCGTCCACCCGGAACGCTGATGACATTTGCCAGCCGCCATTCGGCCATAGGGCGGGCGGCAAATGGTTAAGGATCATATGTGATAACATGCAGCACATGCCCCAAGGTATACGTGCCTTTACTCTCATGGCATTACCTGGTACAGGTGTCACAGCGCTCATTAAGAGGTGTCACTCTCCAGGCGGTCGCTCCAAGCCTTTCGATTTCGTTCTCCCAGTCTGCCACTAACTCGAAAAGCCTTGTAGGATAGTCCATTTGTGTTTCACTTTCCCGCCTATCTGTCAACAGAGAGCAGAACATGAAGCACCATTTCACCAACTGAAAAAGGTATTAAAACTCAGAAAATTTAAATTTTCACTCTGGGTTCATTCAACATGACAAAGCAGAAGATAGCCAGCTCCATCTAATGGCCATAATGCTGTATTTTCCTGAAATACCTCAATAGGGAAAGTACCACATTATGAACACCAGATGGAGCTGACGATCCTAGGAAATAAACACATTAGACACAATCCATGATTTACGAAGGCTGACACAAACGTACAGCAAGTTGTTTTTATAAAGAAAACGCCCATAAATTGATATAAGGTGTTGGCGGCGGCTGCTTTGATCTGTTTGGTTGCTTTTGCAATTGAAAGCTGATTGAAAGGATCTGACATTGTTTGAAAATTTCTGTGTATATGGCCAGCATTGGGCTTTAAAGCTGAACTCCGGGCAAAGGTAATAGACAGTTCATTTATATCTGTGTTCTATATTAAATCATTACATTTGTTTTTCAGGGAATAGTGAATATACCTAAACTAAATTGCCTCTTGCGATCCCCCATACAGCAACACTCCTACTGGGAGAGGGAGACACAGGACTGGAAGCCAATCAGGTGTGCTGAATGCAAATATGTTAACAGGGAACATGCCGACAGGAGGAGGGAACAGGTAGCTGATAGAAGGGGAGAACAGAGTGAGCAGGCTGCTGATCTTGTCAGTCTGCTGCTGCTCTTTTACTGTCCAGTCAGCAGGCTGGGGGTGGAGCGATGACACCACTGTATTACAGGTAACCGGCAAAGTGGTCCTATATGTATTTCGTGTATATCTTGGATGGACATTTGTCTTTTTTCAGCCAGACTATGTGTTTAACTTTTTGCTTGGAAGTTTAATTTGTTTATTTTTTTGCGCCTTCCCTGGTCCTTCCTTTGTCCCCCATCAGCATGCTAATGAAAAGTAAAAAGTATATAGAAAACATTTAAGTTTTCATCTCATACCTTATTTTAGATCCAGTGACATCATCACTGGATCTCTGTGCTTCTCCATGCAACACAGAGAGATCACGGCTGGTGTGAGGGGCCGTCAGGGTACATAGCTTCCATCGCAGCACCCTGCCTCAGTCTTTCAAGAGCCCTCGGTCCTGATGCAAGCAGTGGGCTGGCTCTTGGGAGGAGTTATGCAAATACCACAATGCCATGATGGGTGGATGTCAGTTTGGAGGAGTGGGCATATCTTGGTTACTTTGCATGCTCTCCACCCTAGGGAATGCCCACACCCACCCACTGCCCACCTCAGTGCTCCTCTAAACCCACAACAGAAAAATCAGTCTGTATATGCAGTAAAGCATGCTTGTTATACTCACTGTAGAACCTAAGGGGTTAATCCTCTGCATTGTGTAAAAAAGCTGTTTGATCCTGTCTTCTCTGATCATCCCCTTCTTCCAGTGCCCCCCTCTTATCTCCTGATAAGACATGCACTGTCCAGACAGAGGTCAGGGGTTCTGCATCCTCCAAGAGCAGAATGAAAATTCCTCCTACAAGCTTTAACATGTGCTCTGCTGTACACAGATAGTAGTTACAAGACTGCTATATAGTGTTTATGAGAAAAGGTATTTAGCAGTTTATATTTACTAAAATAATTGCATTTCCAAGTTCTGTGTACTGTGGGGACCAGATATAGTGAATGCAGGGTCCAGGGAGAGCGGATATAGTGAATGCTGGGTCCGGGGAGACCGGATATAGTGAATGCAGGGTCCGGGGGAGACCAGATATAGTGAATGCAGGGTCCGGGGAGACCAGATATAGTGAATGCGGGGTCCGGGGAGAGCGGATATAGTGAATGCAGGGTCCGGGGAGAGCGGATATAGTGAATGCAGGGTCCGGGGACACCGGATATAGTGAATGCAGGGTCCGTGGAGCCCAGATATAGTGAATGCAGGGTCCGTGGAGCCCAGATATAGTGAATGCAGGGTCCGGGGAGCCCAGATATAGTGAATGCGGGGTCCGGGGAGACCGGATATAGTGAATGCAGGGTCCGGGGAGACCAGATATAGTGAATGCAGGGTCCGTGGAGCCCAGATATAGTGAATGCAGGGTCCGGGGAGAGCGGATATAGTGAATGCAGGGACCGGGGAGAGCGGATATAGTGAATGCAGGGTCCTGGGAGACCAGATATAGCGAATGCAGGGTCCTGGGAGACCAGATATAGCGAATGCAGGGTCCGGGGACACCAGATATAGTGAATGCGGGGTCCGGGGAGAGCGGATATAGTGAATGCGGGGTCCGGGGAGAGCAAATATAGTGAATGCGGGGTCCGGGGAGAGCGGATATAGTGAATGCGGGGTCCGGGGAGACCAGATATAGTGAATGCAGGGTCCAGGGAGAGCGGATATAGTGAATGCAGGGTCCGGGAGAGCGGATATAGTGAATGCAGGGTCCGGGGAGAGCGGATATAGTGAATGCAGGGTCCGGGGAGGGCGGATATAGTGAATGCGGGGTCCGGGGAGACCAGATATAGTGAATGCAGGGTCCGGGGAGAGCGGATATAGTGAATGCAGGGTCCGGGGAGCGCGGATATAGTGAATGCAGGATCCGGGGAGAGCAGATATAGTGAATGCTGGGTCCGGGGGAGAGCGGATATAGTGAATGCAGGGTCCGGGGAGAGCAGATATAGTGAATGCGGGGTCCGGGGAGACCAGATATAGTGAATGCAGGGTCCGGGGAGACCAGATATAGTGAATGTAGGATCCGGGGAGATCACATATAGTGAATGCAGGGTCCGGGGAGAGCAGATATAGTGAATGCGGGGTCCGGGGAGACCAGATATAGTGAATGTAGGATCCAGGGTTTAGTAACTTCAATGCAAGCAGGAGGCCAGGTCTATGGGAGTAGTTATGCAAATATCAAAATATCTTAATGACCAGGTGTCAATCTGTAGGCAGGCAGTATTTGCACCCTCATGTGCTGCTGAGCCTTCATGACTGAAAAAACTCCAGTTCCAAATCCAATGAATGAAAGAGGCAGGCCACGTATAGTCAGGCTGAGGATGAAAGGACTGGATGATGATGGACGTTCTCCAGCCAGCAACTGAAGTGTGCTTTATATGACTTGCCACAGCTTCTAATGCACATTGTGAGAAGCTCACAGGGTGCGGTGAAATCAGAGTAAGCCATTTCAGACCAGGAGAGGAGCCGGTACAACTGGGCAAGACTGAAGGGAGGGCTGGAGGTCAGATTTAAACACCTCATTGGTTCTTATGAGCCCAAAACATTCCTTACACTAGCTCAGCTCTTCTAATAAATGATACGTGGCCTCTGATTGGTTACTAAGGGCAACACTAACACTTTCCCCTCCAAACACTTTAAACCCAATGGACCTCAGACATAGGTGCCTAATGGAGAAGTCAGAAGTTCCGATCAGCCAATCAGAGTCTCCTTTTCATGACAGCAGCGCAGTTCTTATTTCAGACAATTTTATACAAGGAGACTATTGTATCTAAATTCCATTTTTGTTTGTTGTAAAGCTTTTTAGTTTTCATTGTTTTCATCTTGGCTGCTGCTATGGGACAATAGATGGGCCTGAGGTAAATTCTCAAGCAAATTCTGCCAAAAAAGGCAGTGACCCCGCACTGAACTCCTCTGGTTTGTCTGTACATACAGGCTTTAATCACTGCAGAGACAAAACACAGCAGGGGGCGGCCATTGTATGCCCCAAGCTGCGCCAAACTTTTCTTTTTGTGTCAGAAAAGTATTTCAGCTTACTGGCACAATGCCCAAGCTAAAAATATTCCTCCTACGTCCTCCTGGTATTTCGGCAGCCCAACGGCTTGGATTTTGGTTATGACTTTGGCTTGTCTTCTGGATTCTGATGTCTGTTTTTATGATTGTTGTTCTCTGGGTTTGGTGTGGGGACACATTGGATGCCTTCAGCTGTCATCGTGCTTTTGCTGAGCGCCCAGTGTGTCCCTTTAATCCCCTAAATCAGTGGTTCTCAACCTTCCTAATGCCGTGACCCTTTAACCACTTCCCGTCCGGCCGTTGTATATAAACGGCCGGACGGTGGCACTGCAGGGTCGGGTGGCCGTCTATAAACGGCCTCCCCGCACCCTGCTTGTGCGCGCTCCCTGGGGGAGCGCGCAGCACCGCGATCCGGTGCCCGCTGTGTCCTCCGGACACAGTGAAACACCGATCGTCGGACGGGACCTCTGTACGAGGTCCCGATCATGTGATCACTGATTGGCCAATCAGTGATCACATGCAATCCAGAGCAATCCAAAGCAGCGTGCTTACACAGTAAAGCACACACAGACAACACAGTAAAACAGCACACAGTTCACCCTTTGATCGACCCAGATGTTAACCCCTTCCTGCTCAGTGCCATTAGTACAGTGTCAGTGCTTTTTATTAGCACTGATCACTGTATTACTGTCACAGGGGATGTCAGTGGCAGTTAGTCAGTTCCCCCCAGTATCAGAATACCCGCCGCAGTCCCGCTGTAAGTCGCTGATCGCCGCTATTACTAGTGTATATATATATATATATATATATATATATATATATATATATATATATATATATATATATAAATTCCAGTATATATACCACCATTTGTAGACGCTATAACTTTCACGTAAACCAGTTAATTTACACGTATTGGTATTTTTTTTTAGCAAAGACATGGAGCAGAATACATTTTGGCCTAAATTTATGCCGAAATTTGATTTTTTAAATCTTTTTACTGGATATGTTTTATAGCAAAAAGTAAAAAAATATTGTTTTTGTTTTTTTTTCAAAATTATCGGTCTTTTTTTTGTTTATAGTGCAAAAAATAAAAACCGCACAAGTGATCAAATACCAACGAAAGAAAGCTCCATTTGTGGGGAAAAAAAGGACATAAATTTAATTTGGGTGCAGCGTCGCATGACAGCACAATTGTCAGTTAAATTAACGCAGCGCTGTATCGCAAAAAATGGCCTGGTCAGGAAGGGGGGTTAATCCTCTGGAGGGCGAGGGGTTAATTTGTTGTTTTTGCATGGTAGCTGATAAATGTGCTGGGAAATGTTTGTCTGTATGTCATGTTTTATGATTGCCTGCCCTGGATAAAGCTTGCTCACAGACTACCTTCTTGCCCTGTAGCTTGGTGCTTGGCTTACTGGCCTGCACATCAGATGTTGGCCAGCACACAACATATATACACCTCTGTCCGCTAACTATTGTGGCTTAAGGGGGGCTCAACAGTGCATTTTTGAACCGCACATCTAAGTGAAAACTAAGGCTACATTCGCTGGCAATCAGGGCCGGTAATGGTAATGGCAGGAATCGGAGATTCCAGCTGTGGCTCTCAATGGCTAGGTCCGGCCATTGGCCTTGCTCACTATGACGACAGGTCGCCTGCGGCTGCAAGTGTTCGCAGTTGTCCACACCGCCAGCAATTATCAGCGGTGATCGCTCCTGGATGCACTTTATGTATGTGCAGCAGAAATCATTGCAGGTAATTGCTGGCTGTGCGGAGAGCTGCGAATAGTTGCGGCCACCAACGACCTGTCAAATGGGGCTGGCGGCCACACCTAGCCGCTGAGGGCCACAGCAGGAATCTCTGATTCCTGCCGCTGCCATTCGCATCAGCCCTAATCGCCAGTGTAAATGTACCCTGACTCACCAGGAAAACATTTATTTTTTTTCCTCTCAATAAAAAATAAAGTTACACTTTAGGAAAACATCTATAAGCGGATGTGATGCGTAGCGAGATCATATCTCATAAAGTTTCTCACCTAGACTTCGAAGCATGGTTTCCTCCTGATGTGTGGCTGAGCTAAGCAGCTGCTGGTTCCTAATCATGGTGTTTGTCATCTGCAACAAAGAAACCAGATCAACACATGAATAGTCTATTAAATGTAATATGACAGAACCAATGAGACAAGTCCGTAGAATTAAAAAAAAAAAAAAAAGATAGTTTCTATGCACACAGCCCTTGGCTCTCTTAGTGGCCCTCCTACTTTACTATTAGGGCTCATGTAAACTGCAGCTCCTAAACTGACGTTCAGGAGTTGTTCAGCATTTTTTTCAGCAGCCCCTGAACTCTCTCTATGTGTCCATGTACACATCGTCATTTACAGTTGTTTGTTTTGAAAGCACCAAACTTGCGTTCAGGAGTAGATTTTACCGACTTTTCAAATGCCAAACGCTTGTAAAAGCGGTTAACGCGCGTTTATAAGCGTTTGCATTTGGAAGTGTTTTTAACTGTTCCATATCCAGATGCTGTCCAGAGCCTTTTTTCATCATCAAAAATGCATACAAAGTGTTTTCCATGTATTCAAATGGACCCGGTACACCAGCGCATACAGTTCCAGGTTTCACGTGAAGGAAAAAATGGTAGAACGCGCCGCATTATGCTCATGATGGGATCCATAGTGAATACAACCAGAAAAGACAGGTCATCTCAAACACATACTGCTCTCTCTGCTTCTGCTCTCTCTATTCCTTTCAAAATGTCTGAAATAGTAAATTATTTACTATTTTTCAGTGCATTCTGGGCATTTGGGAAGGTCTCCTGATGTTATCTTTTAAAAACGCTTCTAAATGCAAACGCGCATAAACGTGTTATACAAATGCAGCTAAACTGATGTTTTTTAACCTACGTTTTCCAGCAGTGAGTTTCCATCGTTCAGAAGAGTTTTCCAAACGCCCCGTGTACATGAGCCCTTAGGTGTACTCTGAAATCCGAAACTCTCATTTTCTTAAGCTGCAGTTATCATACTAAGGAGCCTCAACTCTGGCTCATTATATTTCTGACTAGTACATGACCAACTCCACGGAAGTAAGAGCGGTACCTGTCAAATTCAGGTACCCGCTCCCCACCTCCCCAAAGGTCAGCAGTCATCCATAAGGTCGGAGCTGAGCGGCCGGCCCGGTATTCTGACACGGGGACGGTGGAAATACCAGACCGGCCACTCCATATTCGCTCCATAAGACGCACTGACATTTCCCCCCCTTTTTTGGGGGGAAAAAAGTGCGTCTTATGGAGCGAAAAATACAGTATGTTGTGATCACTTTACCGCTATTATTCTGCGCTTCACTGTATATGCATTTTTCACTTTATGATTTTCAGTGCTGCATTATTTATTTATTATGTCATTTTGAGGACACAGGTTCATCCGTAATGCCAGCTGCTTTCATATAATCAGTCGCTCGCTTGCCAGAGTTTTCATTCTGTGTAATGCACGCAATTGCTACATGGTGCAACGGGTTTTTAATGGTTAACACAGGCATTGGAAAAGACAACATGCCTTTGTTAAGCGATTTACCATGAGCGGCCGCACTACCGACACAGTCTTCCAAAAGAAAGCGATTTTTCATCACCCATTAACCAGCTTCAAAAAGGGAAACCTTTCATGTAGTGCAAACTATTGAACCTTACAGTGTAGGCCTCAGTCTTCAAGCCGTTGTCGCTGAAGTGGAAGTGCATTAGGCGGAATCCTCGATAATGGATCATAAGTTCCTCCGGGACAAACTTCAGGCTCAGCGAAGGAGTAACAACCTTTACTTTACTCTGTCCGGCCACTAAACGTCCAGGGAAAAGGAGAGAAGATGAGAATCGATGGACAATATCAATCAGGCCAGCATGAATGAAGAATGCTTACAGTCATTTAAAGCTTAACTCCGGGCACAACCTTCCTCAACAGCCGCCAAGGATAGAAATCCATACCCTGCAGGGGAGCAATTAACAGAACTTGCAGGTAGCTGTCACATGATAGCAGGGCGCTGGCCCAATCAGCTACAGTCATGGCCAAAAATACTGGCACCCCTGCATTTCTATCAGATAATGCACCACTTCCCCCAAAAAATGGTTGCAATGACAAATGTTTCGGCATTCTCGTGGTTATTTCTTTTGTTTGTATTGGTATGACACAAAAAAGTGGAGAAACAAAACGCCAAATCTGACACATTCCACCCAAAACCCCAAAAATGGACTGGACAAAATTATTGGCACCTTCTCAAAGTTGTAAGAAATAATTGCATTCCAAGTTTGTGATGTTCCTGTGATTTGTCATTAAACTCACCTGTATGCAGGGGCGGACTGACCATCTGGAAACTCGGGCACTGCCCGAGGGCCTGGGGTCAGTAGGGGGCCCCATGAGATGCCCCTGGTACCTTTTTCATAGGCTTTTTTGAGTTTGGGCAAGGTCACAGGGGCCCCATGATCCCCTATGGCCCCGGGGCCCCATGAGTTGTCAGTCCGCCCCTGCCTGTATCAATGACCAGGTGCTGCCAATATAGAGGTCACACCGGCAACCAGATAAAATGGTGAAAAATTGACTCAGCCTGTTGAGTGTCTTTGTATGCCACATGCAGAAGAGAAAGAGAAGCAAAGATTTGTCTGAGGATTTGAGAACAAAAATTGAGGAAAAGCATGGGCAATCTCAAGGTGACAAGTCCATCTGCAGAGATTATGTTCCTGTGTCCACTGTGCTCAACATTGTCAAGAAGTTTACAGCCCATGGCACTGTAGCTAATCTCCCTGGACATGGACGAAAGAGAAAAATTGATCAAATATTGCAATTATGGATTGTTCAAATGGTGCATAAAGAACCTCGACCAACTTCCAGACAAATTCAAGCTGACATTCAGGTTCAGAGTACAACTGTGTCAGCTCCCACTATACTTCACCATCTGAATGAAAAGGGACTCTATGGTAGGAGACCCAGGAGGAGCCCACTGCTGACACAGGAGCATACAAAAAAGCCAGATTGGAGTTTGCCAAAACTTACCTGAGGAAGCCAAAATCCTTTTGGGAGAATGTGCTGTGGACAGACGAAACAAAATGGCAGCTTTTTGGTAAAGCCCATCATTCTACTGTTTTCAGAAAAAGCAATGAAGCCTTTACAGAAAAGAATGCAGTCCCTACAGTCACACATGGTGGGGGGTCGCTGATGTTTTGGGTTTGCTTTGCTGCTTCAGGCACTGGATGTCTTGACCGTGTACATGGCATTATGAAATCTGAAGACTACCAAAGAATTCTGGGGTGCAATGTAGGGCCCGGTGTCAGAAAGTTGGGTCTCCGTCAGAGGTCATGGGACGTCCAGCAGGACAATGACCCAAAGCACATGTCAAAAAGCCCCCAGAAATGGTTTCAAACAAAGCTGTGGAGAGGACTGACCTGTCCAGCAATGAGCCCAGATCTCAATCCCATAGAGCTCCTGTGGAGAGATCTCCAAACAGCAGTTGGGAAAAGGAACCCTTCCAATCTGAGAGACCTGGAGCAGTTGGTGAAAGAAGAGTGATCCAAAATCCCAGTAGAGAGATGGAAGAAACTCATTGATGGTTACAGGAAACCATTGATTTCAGTTATTTTTTCCAAGGGGTGTGCTACCAAATATTAAATTGAGGGTGCCAACAATTTGGTCCAATCCATTTTTGGCGTTTTGAATGGAATGTGTAACATTTGGCTTTTTGTTTCTCCACTTTTTTTGTGCCATACCAATACAAACACAAGAAATAAACATCAGAATGCCGAAACATTTGTAATTGCAACAATTTTCAGGGCAAAATGGTGCATTATCTGACAGAAATGTAGGGGGAGCAAAATCAAAATTTTTGGCCATGACTGTATAACCAGAAGAGTAATCCGCCCCCCAGCTATGCATAATAAAGGGGTGGGGAATGCTCTTGACATCATTGACCAGATATGGCCACATGACCAAAGTTGGACAATGCCATTGATCAAATAGGGCCAAGAGGCAGTATGGAGTCAATGGTGTCACCAGCATGCCTACCCCTTTGTTACATGTGTCTGCAGGGTGGGGAATTCCATGGCTGCAGCTGATTGGTCCGGTGGCCTGCTATTGTGCCACAGCTTCCGGCAGGTTCAGGCTTGAACCCAAGTGATAAGGCTTACAATGTGACTGAACAATCTACTTTGAGATCTACCAAAACTATATAATATGAGGACCTAGCTAGACCATTCCAATCAATTTGTATCCAATCAGGCAGGTCCTTGTTTGGCAGATCTAATGGAGATTGTACAATCAGATTTTAATGTGTGTGGTGAGCTTAAACCGTTAGTTCACCTTTACAGAAAAAATTTAAAAGTGAGTTAACATCGTACACTCTGCCCACCTCCCTGGTACCTGCTGTATTTACCTCCAGGGATGCTGGGCTGAGGGATGGACCAGAGAAGAGTGGGGATTTCAGATCTCGGGACCACTGGACTGGCTGCATGAGCAGTGACAGTTCAGCATCCCTGGAGGTAAGTACAACGGGGACCAGGGGAAGGTGGGCACGGTGTACAGCAGTGGTGGTCAACTTTCTTAATATGGGCGGGGCTCAAGCACAGCCCCCAACATCACCAGAGGATAGCACATAAAATTCAGGGAATATTTAGTGTCAGTGACAGTAGACACACAACAGGATATAGTCAAAGACTTATGGCATGATACAGGAGATGGTCAGAGACTGTGGACATAATACAGGAAATGGTCAGAGACTGTGGACATAATACAGGAGATGGTCAGAGACTGTGGACATAATACAGGAGATGGTCAGAGACTGTGGACATAATACAGGAGATGGTCAGAGACTGTGGACATAATACAGGAGATGGTCAGAGACTGTGGACATAATACAGGAGATGACCAGAGACTGTGGACACAATACAGGAGATGACCAGAGACTGTGGACATAATACAGGAGATGACCAGAGACTGCGGACACAGTACAGGAGATGGTCAGAGACTGTGGACATAGTACAGGAGATGACCAGAGACTGCGGATGTAGTACATGAGATGACCAGAGACTGCGGACATAATACAGGAGATGGTCAGAGACTGTGGACATAATACAGGAGATGGTCAGAGACTGTGGACATAATACAGGAAATGGTCAGAGACTGTGGACATAATACAGGAAATGGTCAGAGACTGCGACATAATACAGGAGATGGTCAGAGACTATGGACATAATACAGGAGATGGTCAGAGACTGTGGACATAATACAGGAGATGGTCAGAGACTGTGGACATAATACAGGAGATGGTCAGAGACTGTGGACATAATACAGGAGATGACCAGAGACTGTGGACACAATACAGGAGATGACCAGAGACTGTGGACATAATACAGGAGATGACCAGAGACTGCGGACACAGTACAGGAGATGGTCAGAGACTGTGGACATAGTACAGGAGATGACCAGAGACTGCGGATGTAGTACATGAGATGACCAGAGACTGCAGACATAATACAGGAGATGGTCAGAGACTGTGGACATAATACAGGAGATGGTCAGAGACTGTGGACATAATACAGGAAATGGTCAGAGACTGTGGACATAATACAGGAGATGACCAGAGACTGTGGACATAATACAGGAGATGGTCAGAGACTGTGGACATAATACAGGAGATGGTCAGAGACTGTGGACATAATACAGGAGATGGTCAGAGACTGTGGACATAATACGGGAAATGGTCAGAGACTGTGGACATAATACGGGAGATGGTCAGAGACTGTGGACATAATACAGGAGATGGTCAGAGACTGTGGACATAATACAGGAGATGGTCAGAAACTGTGGACTTATTACAGGAAATGGTCAGAGACTGTGGACATAATACAGGAGATGGTCAGAGACTGTCGACATAATACAGGAGATGGTCAGAGACTGTGGACATAATACAGGAAATGGTCAGAGACTGTGGACATAATACAGGAAATGGTCAGAAACTATAAACAGGATACATGAAATGGTCAGAGACTGCACACAATGATACAAGAAATAGTCAGAGACTGCAGACATGATACAAGAAATGGTCAGAGACTGCAGACATGACACAAGAGATGGTCAGAGACTGCAGACATGACACAAGAGATGGTCAGAGACTGCAGACATGATACAAGAAATGGTCAGAGACTGCAGACATGATACAAGAAATGGTCAGAGACTGCAGACATGATACAAGAGATGGTCTGAGATTATAGACAGGATACAAGAAATGGTGAAAGACTGGCGATATAATACAAGAGATGGTCAGAGGTTGCAGACATGATACAAGAGATGGTCAGAGACTGTGAACACAATATAGGAGGTGGTTAAAGACTGTTGATATAATACCAGAGATGGTCAGAGACTGCAGAGATGATACAAGAGATGCTCAGAGACTGTGGACAAAATATAGGAGATAGTCAGAGACTGTGATGGTCGGAGACTGCACACGATACAAGAGATGGTTAGAGATTGTGGACAGGGTAAAAGAAATAGTTAAAGACTGGGATATACTACATGACATGGTCATAGACTGCAGACATGATACAAGAGATGGGCAGGGACTGTGGATATAATACAAGTGATGGTCAGACACTGCACACATGATATAAGAGATGGTCAGAGACTGCAAACATGATACAAGAGATGGTCAGAGACTGCAGACATGATATAAGAGATGATCAGAGACTCTGGACATAATATAGGAGCAGGTCAGAGACAGTGAATACAAGT